AGAACTTGCTACTACTACTTCTGTTGTGCTGCTGCCTGCTGCTACTACTACTACTACTACTACTACTACTACTACTACTACTACTACTATTACTTGGTGCTACTACTACTACCACTTCTACTATTACTACTACTGCTACTGCTGCTGCGGCTTCTCCTACTACTAATAATAATATTAATATAATAATAATAATAATGATAATATAATAATAATAACTTGTTTTATAAATTGTAGGAAGGAGAAACGTAAAGGAATGCTGATGATAATGAAGATGACCGAATCGAGAGAGCACGTCAATCTGGTCAAAGCGAACCTTCCGGTCATCATAAAACTAGTTGTGAATGAGGTATATAGATCTATAATTCTGGTTATTTTGCAAAATTGTCATAATTTCTTTATGGCTGGCGCGGTGGCTTAATGGCTAAGATGCCTGGCAGTGATGTTGTTGTGATTGTGTTCGAATGCGAAAAGACCCAGCCTTGTGACTGCCATATACAATGCGTTGATTTACGTGTAGTTCGTTTACTGAATGTTTGTTGCTGATATATGTATAAAAAACTAAACAGAAAATTTTACTAAGTATATATAAGATATATTTATACACACACACACACACACACACACACATATATATATATATATATATATATATATATATATATATGTGTGTGTGTGTGTGTGTGTGTGTGTATATATATATATTTAAAATTTTTCTTTTTGTATGAAGGTTAAGAATTTGCGTTCTAAAGTCTCCTTACTGGCCATGTCCACAATTGGTCAGTTGTTTGTGACGTATCAAAAAACATTGGATAAGGTGAGGTAACATTTATGTAAAAACTAAATTACAATTAAAAACGGATTTTTTTTAAATATTATTCTACACAATCCAACCCTGCGGTTACTCTTTATTACATAAACGCAAATTGTTACACCTTGCAAGTAGGACGTCGACAAGTGCACCCCACTGCTCCTGTCCAAATGTGGAGACACCAACAAATTTATTAGGGAGGAAGCCGAGAAGTGTCTTGTCTCCATTTTAAATAACGTAACTGCCACTAAATTCATTAGCGCCCTTATTCCTCTAGGGACAAGGTTAAATTTAATAAAAATTTCAACTGAAAATGACTTTTTAAACATTGTATATCTCATCTATCATTTGATTTGCTCTTTCATTTTAGCCACAAAAACGTGTCCATATGTTTAACGTCTACACGTTTGTTGAAGAAATTAATTGAAAAAGTTGGCCCGGAAAGAGTTCTTCAAAATAAGGAGATGACGGAGAAGGTGCTGCCTGCGTGTGCCAACTTACTTCTGGTTGGATCCAACGATGTCAGGTAAATATTTCTTCCTATTTTTTCACAAAAATTTTTTTTTTATGTTGTTAGACTAAGTCCTTTTTTTCGAAACCTCAGGGAGGCTGGTCAGTTGATAGTGAAAAGTTTTTTGTACTACCCTGTGCTGTTTGATAAATGCTTGGCTAGATGCGTCTCTCACAGCGTCGTCACCAGCATTCGCGGCAAGCTCGCGCTGATCAGCGAGACGGTACAGTTGTTCTCTTGCGTTGCTTTGAAATTTAGAATTTTTTCAATTGATTTTAAGTGGTTTTAGTTGATTGTTTTATTAGATTAGTTGTTTTTTTAATATAAAACAACTAATGATTTTGTGTGATGTCTGAAGTATTTGTATTTAAAAAAAATAGATAACGCATTACGAGCCACCGCCAGATGAAAACCCAGAATCGAGGGACACATCTAGAAAGTTATTAACCTAAATAATCATTTGATCTCTCACTGAATGTAGTACACGTATTCGTGCGTTAAATAAAAGTATTTTACATGTAAAATTTTTCGACAATATTCATAAAATTATTTTCATCCACTCTACTTTACCTCAGCAGTTCGAGTAAGCCAAAAATCTTCAGCTCAACGCCCGACGTACAGAAAGATCTGGATGCCGACCAGCCAAAAAATAAATCGGCCGGATCCACTTTCGGTCGGTCGAATATTCCAGTACCAAAAAACCGTTTAGGATCGCAGAACTCTGAGAAGAGGGTGGTGGAGCTGACAAGTCACATGATGGCAGGTTTGGAGGAACAGTTGATTTCAAAAAATGTAGAAGAGCGATTGAAGGGTTTGATGGCACTTGAGAGAGTTGTTCATAAGAATCCTGTTTGGATGGTAGAGTTGGTGGAAGTGAGTTGATTGATTTGTACGTAGCAAGCTGGTTGGTTGGCTGGTTGGTTGGTTGGCTGGCTGGTTGGTTGGTTGGTTGGCTAGTTGGTTGGCTGGTTGGGTGGCTGGTTGGATGGTCAGATTTAGCTAAATTTGAGAGTTGATTGAATTCTTTGGCGTCTGAGTAGGTCTGCTAGTGAAACAAAATTAACATATCACTTTGAAATAAGTTAAAACAGTCAAAACTAAAATAACAATGCTTGCGCTTAATAATAACTTTTTTTTATTCATCCCCATTTTTCAGATCGTCGATAACCTTCTGGGTTGCGTTAGTAGTAGCAACGAAAAAATTTCACTCAAGTCACTTACTGTACTAAACTCACTGCTAAACATCACAGCCATATACGCCGACAAAAAGATAAACTCAATAGTAAATAAGTTGGGACATGTGATTTCAATGGAATGTAGAGAAAATGTGCTCGAAGCTTTCAATGTTTTGGATACTGTAATGCAGCTATTTCGTTAGTTGTCGTTACATTTTGGCTTTTCCTATATTTTCATTGGCATTTATTAATTTAAATTTTTTTCTCCCAGAACCATTTTCATTACTTCAATCGTTTGTGACGATAGCAATGAAGTGTAAACTGTCTTACAAGCCTAATTTCATTGATAGAATTCATTGTTGGTACAATTTCTAATATCATTTTTCATCTATTTCACTATAATTTTCAAAATTTAAATGCATTTCGACACTAAAAAAAATTATTTGACTCGTAAAAAACCATTTCAGATCTCTACCTGGGGTCAGCCAAACAACGTCGCCTGCAATCAACTGATCACATATCTCCATTCATATATCACCTGGTCACTCTTGTGAATTATTATTCAAAATTCTCTTCTAAATTAAAAAACCAACCTCATACGCAAAACGTTTTGCAAAAAGTTTTTGAAAAGCATTCACCCGAGGTCGAGAGGGCTCCGTTAGAATTGAAATTTGATGAGCTGGATCAGTTTGATGGGTCAGTTTGTAGTGATGGAGACACTGTAGTGGATTGTCAATCCACGTTGTCTAAAAATTCTGCATTTTTACTGTTGAGCTTATTTGATACTGACCTCTCGACTGAAAACAGTGGTGAAATTTCGCAAGAAACATTTTCGTGTGGGACGAGCCCAGAAAATAAGAACAAGCCAGTTGAAACGAAAAACGTCACGGTACAGTTTGAAAATTTAATGAATGATATAAAAATTAGGAGTAAGTGGCTGATTAGAACTGTTGAAGGATACGCTGAAAGTCATCTGATGTTGAAATACCTTAGTTGGAAGCCAGTTGTTAGAGAAGCGTTTGATTCCTTGATGCAATCGGTGAAACCTGGTCTTTAGGAACTCACATCTTCTCAATCATTTTCACTGCCGATATATATATATATATATATATATATATATATATATATATATATTCATTCATTTATTTATTTATTTATATTTTCGTGGCTTGCTCAAACGAATGTATAATTTTGTACAATATATTTGTTGAAATTTTACCTGCAAAGATTTTTCTATACTTTGAACATTACTCTTGATCATTAGTGTGTTCGTTTGTATCATACTTACAAAATTAACATATGTCAATGGTTCCAATGGTATGATGTTTAATAATTTCTCTCTAGAATGTCTACAATGACGAAATAAATTTTGTCTCATTGTGTTGCCCCGTTGAATTGCACGCGTTGTATCGTTCTCTTTAACTAATGGTAAGGAGCTATTCATAAAACCAGGATGGCCGAGTGGTTAAGGCGTTGGACTTAAGATCCAATGGACATATGTCCGCGTGGGTTCGAACCCCACTTCTGGTAGGAATTGTTTTACATTTAAGTATCAATATATATCAAGTAATATATCATGACCGTATTTAAGCCGTATTTTAGATCTTTTGTTTAAAATTTTTCGATATATATTTTTTTTGTACCACCGAAAAATAATTATTGATATTAATCGTTGCGTGCATATCTTTCAAATGGACGCCCACTCATCGAGTCATGTTATAGTTCCTGCATTTAGCTCAGACAGCATTTGAACCAAGTATGTGCATCATAAGAACGATGTTCTGCCACGCTGAACTTCTCTTTCCATTCAGCAAAACAACAGGGGTAATAAAGCTGTTTTGAAAAATTGGCTATCGTATTGGTTAGTTCTTTTTTTTAATTTTTGCTGTGTTTGCGTTAAGTTAACGACTTATTTTTTGCTAATATTCGTTTACTTAGTCACCTTATCACGCTGGGAAACTTCAATATTTTCTTCTTTCGTCGTCTCATGCTTAATTAAGTAAAAAAAACTGAAGAACTGAACTGAATTAGGACGACTCTTTTTTGACAAAGAAAGTTTCATCAGAGACAGTTTGAAATAGAGAAATGAACATTTTGGTTGGTTATTTGATAAAATTGGTTGGTCCAGGTTAACCACTTCAAAAATCCACCTCATACATGGATTTCATGTGCAAATTTTTTAATTTTACGACAATTATCAACTTCTATCATGGGAATGATACTCTATCGGGTCACCCATCCAAGTGGCTGGCGGCGGTCAACTTAGCAAGTTAAGCGTTGTTGGAAATGACAGCGAAAAACTTTTTTTTGATTTATTTCATTGTTATCAAGAAAATTTGATGACATTTTTTGTTTGGAATGATCAAAGCCTATTTAGTTTTAGTCAACTTACTAATTGCATTAATCACAATAAATAAATAAATCTACCGATTATATAGTCATCTATTTGTTATATTTCTAAAGCTCATTATTAGTTTGTTAAATTATTCTTTCAAGCAGAAAAAAATTACTTAATTGCTTTCATAATGGCATCATAACGGTATGAAACCTTTGCAAAAACCGAAAGAGCGCATGTCAAGTTGGCCTGAGCTCTCCCGATAACGAAGTTTGCAATTCCAATCTGAGTCCATTGGAGCCTGGAGTTCCTGCAAACGTATGGTCCACCACTATCTCCCTGCCGTTTTTATTGTTGTTGGAAACATTAAAGCAATATTAATTTTTTATTTAAAAAAACATTAAAGCAATATTAATTTTTTATTTAAAAACTGTTTCCAACCGAGCAAACGTTGGTCCCTTTGTAAGTAGGAATTGAGCCGACGCATAGGAGATCGTCACCACGGAAAATTTCATCAAATTCATTACTTCCAGTTAACACGTAAGCAGCATATTTGCATTCTATGTTCGTCATTGGGTTCATCCTACCTTGCAATAAATACTTACTCTCCGATGCTGAATTACTGACTGAATGAATTGTGAGAGAAAATTTACAAAAATGATGCTTTTAATGAAATTATAATATATGTATGGATTTTGGTTATATAGTGGAAAGCGTCATTTTGTCGAAGTGTAAAACAAGCAGTCTCGCTGTGTGAACAGATTCAATCTGGGCGACCAAATTTTAAAATATATGATGCTCTGTCCTGTTAGACACTTTTGTTTATTAAAGCAGACCTCCTTACTGGAAGAAACCGCACTAGCGTTTACAACATCATGTAAAAACTTTTTCAGAAGTGTAGGCAGTAATATTTCACAATAATGTATCGTGGTGGAAAATTTGACTACAAGTCAAGTGGGCAAAAAATTTGTTGATCTTATTAAACACCAACCCATATCAGTGTTTCCATGCCCAGTAGCCACACAGACATCGAACGCCTCCGACATGTCGGGAGTCTGTAGGCAGATCGGCTGGACTGACTTGTTGAATGTGAGCGGCTCACGGATTTTCAAAGTGCCAAGTCATTCTCGTGAGTTTCTTCCTTGTAGTTGAACAATTTAATCTCAACGATTTGGAGATATTTAACTGCCGGGTCGTTCAGTATGTTTGTACCCACTGTAACACATATCTCAGTAGTCTCGACCACTACTCCATCTTTCCTAAAACAGTTACAAATTAATTTTAGAATTTGGCTATAATATAAAAATAAATAAATAAAACAATATTACGAGACACAATGGGCTGCAGTTAAAATCCATCTGTCTGATATAATGCTACCACCGCAGACAAACGTTGGAAAACCCAGGAAGTACCGGTAGAATTGAACCTGCCAGGGCCAAGCCGATCTTCGAGCCATCATTCCATTCACGACGTACGAATTCTTCAGGTCAAATGAGGCATCTCTCTTTCCGCATTCTATGTATAAGTTATTTACATGTGTCAGTGGAAGTTTTATTCTATCAAAAAATGTAGTCTAGATGAAATAGTAATTTACCTTGCACGTAGCAAGAAAGTTTAGTGTAGACATTATAGGGACAGCCGTGCCTGAAGATGTTGAACAAATAAAAACATGGTAGAATAATAATTTGCGATTGAAAGGTTAAAAATGAAAGTGTCCAAAAACGAAAGTGTCCAAAGATGAAAGTGACGTACGTGATAGAGAATGGACTTAGAAATATCATCTCCCCTGCGAACAATGTATCAGAAATTCTCAGCGATTTCGTTACGTATTTCGTCTCATTACTAAAACCCGCGGCTCGGCTAATTTATTTAAAATAATTTGATCATTGTTCTCCATTTAAAAATCATAATTATTAATGTCTCTAACTAACCTGTATCCCATTTGCCTACACGCCGCATTAGCGTGCTGATCCTTCCAACCGTCCAAACAGAACAAATGTCCAGGCTGGCCCTTGTATGTGCTGGTCAACATTCCAGATTCGCTAAGGCTTACTGCAAAAGTTATTTCATTTTAGAAGAAAAATGTGAATAGTAGCGTGTTAACAATAAAGTGAAAACGATTTGAAATTTTGGAATAATATTTCACTGACGACAATCCTCTTCATCCGACATGTCTGAACACTCAGGGCTTCCGTCGCACTGAAACTCATTCGGGATGCACATCTTCCATTTTTTGCATCTAAACTCGTTAGGCGCGCATGGCGCTAAAAAACAAAATGAAGAAAATTATAGAGGAATATTTTTCACTCAATCAAAAATATTTAAGCGACACAAGGCGACAACTAACGACATCTGGCCACATCTTCGTCATCACCATGCGGGCAATCCTTTAGTCCATCGCACAATAAATCATAATGAATGCATTCGCCGGTTGACGCACATTTGTACTGAGAGGTCTGACATGCTAAAATGCAAAGTTTTCATAGTCATCAATAGCAAATTTAACAGAATTACTGTTGTAGTGACGACTTTTTGTAATCAAATTCAGCAGTGAGCAAAAAATCAACTGACCGCAGTTTTTCTCGTCCAGATTGTCAGGACAATTCTTCACACCGTCGCAGAATTCAGAACGCCAGACACATTTTGTTAAATTCTGGCACCACATGTTGCCACTGGTGGCCAAACAGGCTTGCTTCTGCACATCAGCTGAAAAAATTTAATACATTCCTAACACTCATTAGCATGACTAAGTTCAACCATTTTAAAAAATTCTAATAATTTCTGAGGAAATATCAAAAAATAGACAGTTAAAAATCAAACCACAGTTGGCTAATCCAAGGCATAAGCTGCATATAGTGTTGATATCTACACACGCTCCTCTGGCCTGGCAGAAATATTCATCAGATTTACATTGCTGGTCAGGTTTGGAAGTGGATACAGTTGATTTGGCTGATCCTAGAAATATTTTTCTTAGTTGTGTTGGGTCGGTTGGTATTTCAGATGAATATTGATTAATTTTATTTTGAAAGAATGGATGAAAACTATTCTGCTTCTGTAACATCGCGAAAATTATAATTAAATTCAAACAGAAGTGATATAGACAGATAGATAGAGAGAAAGAGACAAAGAGAAAGAGAGAGACATAATAAAAGAAAGAAACCTACAGACAGACACATACCACAATTATTTTCATCGCTGTAGTCGCCGCAATCGTTTATACCATCGCACATCCATGCCTTGGTTATGCACTTTCCATTGGAACACCTGAACTTGTTGTCCGGACAATCATTTTGCTGGCCTTTCAACTCTGGTTTGGAAAGAAAAGACTTATTAATACATTTTTATTCATCATTCATAAACTAATGTTTCTTAATCTTATAGGGTAATGGTTCATTTCGGTCAATTTGGTAGATTTTATCAAATACTGCATCAATTGTGATCTCCTTCCAGCCTTTACAAATTACGTACACATACATACAATGCGATTCAATATGGTTTATCAATATATATCGATATGAAATAAAGTTTAAAAATATACAACAATATATAATATAAACAATGATATAAAAATATAATTATAACATAATTATTTGCAAAATATTTTTATTTATTAAATGAAACTTACGAGCGCCAGCAATCTCGGCGATGCAACCAACGAAACTCAGTTGAAACAGAATCTTTAATATCATAATTTTTTTTCAGAAATAATTTTTATTATTATAAATAATATTGAAATTATTTGTAATTAATAAATACAAAATTGTAACAACTCGAAATTATTTGTGCAAAAGGCATAAAGAACTTATTAAATATATTAAATTTTATTATACAGGCAAAACACGCCTAACAAGTATTACATATACGTACATGTTGATAGAAAGTAAAGTTTATGAATAGGTACCCAAACAAGTAAAAAAAACGAAAGACTTCCACACACACAGACACACACAACACACGCACGCACACACACAGACACACACACACACGCACATACACAGACACACACATACACATACATTATTCAGATGCTTCTAAAATATACTTCTTTGCTTAACCTAAGACATTAAATTGTAAAATACACTTTCATTCAAGAGAATATGTAAATACGTACATATTCAAACACACAAGTAGAAATGGACAGATTACAAATGTATGGATTATAATACTAGCAGTAGTCGTAGTTGTAGTAGCTGCAGTATATTACAGCTGCAGTAGTAGTAGTTGTAGTAGTTGTTGTTGTTGTTGTTGTAGTAGTAGTAGCAGCAGTAGTAGAAGTAGTAGTAGTAGTAGTAGCAGCAGCAGTGGTGGTGGTGGTGATAGTAAAAGAAGTAGTAGTAGTAGTAGTAATAGTAGTAGCCGCAGTGGTGGTGATAGTAGTAGTAGAAGTAGTAGTAGTGTAAACGTAGTTTGTTGAAAAAAAATTTGACTTGTATCCATAAGTGCAACAATGGAAAAAATTGGTTTAAGAGTTTAGAGAATTTTAAATAAAGTGATTAATCATAAAAACATAAAAAATTATGGAATATAATGAATAAATATAGTAAATAATAATAATAATTACAATAGTTATACTATTAATAATTTAATAAAATTTAACAATTTTTAAAAATTTCAGACGATCTTTATGGGAGAAACGGTGATCTCAAGCTGTGTGAAAATTCATTTTCGATGTGTTGTCCTTAATGCCATTGTATTATATTTTATTTGATATTAAGCTACTACTACAACTACTACTTCTGCTGCTACTACTATACTACTACTACCACTACTACTGCTGCTACTACTACTAATAATAATAAAAATAGTAATAGTAATACTTCTACTAAAACATTTGCAGCTACTGCAATTGTTTTTATACATTGTATCTAGACCATTAGTACGGTTTATGAAATGAATAACATTGCGCTTATTCATGCGTGGATGACATGAATTGTTGTATGAATGAATGTTGATGTTTGTTTGTTTGTTTGGTTGGTTGTATGTTCGTTTGTTCGTTTTTTAGTTCGTTCGTTCGTTCGTTTGTTTGTTCGTTCCTTCGCTATTGCGTTCGCTAAATCGTTTAGTTGTATGTCTGTACATTCTTTTTGTTTTGGGTGTTCTGATTTATGGCCTGTTGAATTCGATTGTAATAGTGTGTTATTTTGAGTTGTTTATGAGATTTTAATACAATATACTTGCCGTTTAGATTTCGGTTGTTATTGCCGTCACTGAAGTTTTGTCGTCCAAGTTTTAGCTCCACATTTTGTGGTTTTATGGTTTTATATGTATATATATTTATATATATACTGTGTGTGTGTGTGTGTGTATGTGTGTGTGTGTGTGTGTGTGTGTGTGTGTGTGTGTGTGTGTGTGTGTGTGTGTGTGTGTGTGTGTGTGTGTGTTGTACATTTTAATTAATAAGTATACATAATAATAAATAAACTTAATTTACTACATGTGAATGTAAAACTTGTCGCTCGATAACACGATAACAGGCAAACTATTGGATAATTGCAGGCAGAAGGTATAATTAGATGATTTCAATTAGAAATTAGAAAATTTCTCGGTATTTAACATTAAGCTGATCTTACTAATCCGTGTAAGATTACACAAAAGACCTACAAAATACTTTTGCTGTTGTATATATATATTTAGTATAAATATATATATATATATATATATACGTAGAATTGATATATATATATATAAATATATATGTATATATATATATATATATATATATATACAGAAGGAGTATGGAAAGAGAAAAAGAGAGAATATAGAGAAAGAGAGAATTAGAATAAAAATAAATATAAAAGTATTTACATAATTAAGTTTTTTATAGCTCTATACTCATATAACCTTTAATTATCTACTTATGGATTACCCTTAATTCCTGATATAGGCTTTCTGTAATAAATATATGTATATGTGTGTGTTTGTGTGTGTGTTAATGTGTGTGTTTGTATGTGTGTGTTTGTATGTGTGTGTTTGTGTGAGTGTGTGTTATATAAGCCATTTCGCCAGCCGTTAATTAATTAGCCATTTAGTATGTAACAGTGTTTCACTGGATTGCGCTATGGACGTGAGTTCCCTGTTGCTTTGTTTGGTGATAATTTGGCGTTTTTTGTGTAAAATATGGTGTGGCATTCTTATTTTTTTGCAAATTTGAATAAAACTATCTTTTAGTTATTTGAATTTTTATTTTAAAGTTTTAAAAGTTTTATAAAATTATTTATTGAAAAAGATGGTTTCCTGGCTGACGTGATGTGACGTGACGACTCGAGTGATTGACATTGAACAGTTCGTGATTTTGACCCAGAAAAAATAATTTTACAAAACTAAATTTTACAAATTCTTAAAAATTCCGATAACAATGATAATATTTTCAATTAAATATGCTAATTTCTTATTTCCTAACAGTTCAGGTATTACGTAATAAAGAGCAGATTGGACGGACAAGCGTTGGACGTGAGGGGTGCCTCTTGTAGTCCTGGGACGGAGGTCATTCCGTACTCCCAGCACAACAAAATTAACCAGATTTGGTACCAGGATCCTGCCAGAGGAATCATTGTCACAAAGTTGAATACTGGCTTCTGCATTGATGTTGAAGGTCTGGTTTAGTATTATTATTATGTATTTTAATTGTAGTTAATTATGTTGTTATTATTATAACAAATTCTAGTTAATACACTTATAATTGTTAATATTTTGACATAAATTAGTAAATTAATTTGTGAATCAACCCAAATGCTTATTAATTTCATCATTAAATTGAATTTCTAGAGCCATTGAAAACATGATTTTAAATATTTAATAGTTAATAAAACTAAAATGCTGACCTATTTTAAATTACTTTTGAAAAAATTATTTAAATTTATTTTTTAAAAAATCATCTAGATGGCAGGGTAGTCATCAATCCATTCAAACCAGGAGATGAGAATCAGCAGTGGGAGTTTCATGAGAATAAGCTGAAGAATAGATTTAATCACGACAAGGTCATTGAGTTACACGAAGGTATGTACCATATTTCTTATCAATTTTCGTTTCGTTTTCTAGAGAACTATAAAAATTCCCACATATAATAACTATAATAATTGTAATAATAATAATTATATAACTATAATAATTGTAATAATTATTATAATTTTTGATTGTAGGTATTTTGAGAGTAGGTGAGAAAGATAAGGATTCCTCGGGTCAGTTATGGGAGTTTGAGGAATGTGGAAACTCGTCTGATATCTCCAAGTCTGCTCCGTGCATCTATAATTTTGAGAATTCGATACTTTATCAGTTTTACATTTTTAAATATATTTTTAATATATCTCTCATTTATATTTTCAAAAACATGCCTAACATTTTTAAACGCGGACTAATCTTAACTGGTACTAATCACTCACTTTCCCTAACTTTAGGCCTGCACTCTTTTACATTATTAGTGAATTGAATGGTAAGGTGGTCGACATCGATAAGGGGTCCAATGAAGAAGGCGCCCAGATTGAAATGTGGAACCGACATCCTGATCGTCTGCTCAATCAGCTATGGTACATTGATTACTATGGGTATATTAGATCTGCCCTCAACAATATGGTTTTCAAAAATAAAGGTATTTTTATTATATTATTCTTTTACATGTTACCTAACTTATTTTAATTATTTCACTAGAGAGCCAGTAATTTTACTACTAACTTGTTGTGTATTAATATTACTGTTAGAGTTCTGTTGTTGGTGTTTTCATAGTGTGAAGAAAATTTTTTTGTCTGTAGATGAGAAAAACTTCACTCTTCTTTCATTTCAAAAACAAATTTGAGTTAAAACGTAGTTTAAATTTATTATTTTTAGGGTAAAATATTATTTCACCCATTACACTCTAAAAAAAAAACCAGGATACGGAAAGAAATTAAAGATGGGGCCCTATAAAAACACCCCCAGACACCAGTGGAAAATCGATAGCTGCAAATTAGTGAATGGAGAGGGAGAATGCATGGATATCATGGGACAGAATGAAGAAGATGGCGCCAAGGTTTGCTCCTACGGATTCAAAGATTCAGCCAACCAGCGCTGGTTAATACAGTATGAATTATAGATGGTATCATGATATATCATCTGTACGTCAAATAAACGTTCCGATACCGGTTCTGTTTTACCGATACCGATTCTGTTTTACCGATTCCGATTCTGTTTAGTTTTTAAGAAGAAAAAATTTATATTTTCCCTTCCCCTATCATGTGATCAGTATTTATACGCTTCATAATGTATTTGATTTATTGTTTTTTTCTCCATTTTGCTTTTATGATTTTTAAATTTTATTTAGTTAAGTACTTAGTTACTCAAGTTATTTAGAGAATACTTATTTGATTTGTACCTAGTTAAATATTCACTATTCATTGAATACTTGATTAGTTTATGAACATGATATTTATGTTGTTATATTTATATTGACTACTTAATTACTTATTGGATGGATATTTAGTTTCGCATTGATTTAGTATTTAGTTACTTGTGTTTTGATCGATACGGCTGTTTTTTTATCGCGTTCCAATGCTTCATTACAATCATCTACCTTTCATTCAATCTACTTCATGTTTATAATTATTATAATAATTATAATTATGATTATATAAAATTATATTATAAATTTATAATTATATTCTTCAAAAAGTAATAAAGTCAATTTTGCGTTCAAAAGTCATTGAATTATGTTTTAATCTCCTTCATATAATCCATCAATAATAATCGTAATAGACACGCACGCACGCACGCACACGTATAGAAAAACACGCACATACACACACACATCCACAGGCATACATACACAAACATCTCTATAAGGAACATGTGACCACAATATCGTCATCATCGCTGCTGCTTGATGCCAAGCCTTCTTCGACGGTGCTGTACATGCACAGATATATACATACACGTAGACATTAATACGAATGTATACGCGTATGTGTATATACAGAAGTATGCAATGTGTGTATACGCATATACACGCATATATACTTGCGTATATACTGCATACGCTTGGATGTACCTTTGCCAAGAGCAACTACAGCCAGTAGACAACGGAAATGCAATGCATTGAGACCTGATAAATAAAGCAGTGGGCGTTATACATATGCGTATATTTGATACATAGGATATATCATGTATATATGTATGTGTGTGTGTGTGTCTTTGTGTGTCTTTTGCTTATTGTTATAATTGGCGCGGTCTTTCATAATTATTGTTGTGCATTGTTGTAATATATGCGTGTGTGTTTGTTATATATGTGGTGTATATTTACCTTACATATTGTTATATATATATATTTATATATGTGTGTGTGTATTATATGTGTGTTATATGTGTGTCATATGCGTGTATTATACATACATGTACCTACGTATATACGTTTATCCAATGTATACCCGATATATATGTGTGGGAGACAGCTTACATGTATTGATTATTATCACCACTGTTGATGCACTGAGAAGAAAAGTAACCGAGTGATGTTATTGTTTGTTATACATTCGTGTCTTGTTAGCCTAACTTGACCGAGTTTAATTCAATTTTCTTAAGCTATCTATTCCTACTGAAGAACTTTAATTTATTTATTTTCAGTTTTAATAATATAATTAATAATAGAACTTATTTTTATGTGTGTGATTGTTGCATTTTATGGATGATTTGGTCTGATTTGATCTGCATATACGAGTTGAGGATTTGTCTTTTCACATTGTTTTCTGACGGCAAATAAGTCGTTTTTTTCATTTTTGTGTTAATTCGGTTCGGAGAAAGTCAAGAAAATCAAAGCATAAGAACACGTTAGTACTAACTTGATAATATTACCTTTTTGAAATTATAAATTACCAAAAAAAACCGTCCCGACAGCAATAGGGATGGACTCGCACCAGGAATTAAACGACGAAGACAACTTGGAAATTGATGAGAGTCTGACCAACTTGATCGTCAACTACCTGCCGCAAACTATGTCGCAAGACGACCTCAAGAGTCTCTTTTCAAGTTTAGGAGAACTAGAAAGCTGCAAATTAATAAGAGACAAAGCCACTGGTCAGTAGTAGTAGAAGTAGTAGCAGCAGCAGTAGTAGTAGCAACAGCAGCAGTATTAGTAGAAGTAGTAGTAGCAGTAGCATTAGTAGTATAGTAGAAGTAGTTTTATAGTTATAGATATAGTTACTGTAACTAACTTTCATTATTTTTTCATAAACTCGTTGAAATTTTGAAATATAAATAAATTAATTAATTAATACTAATAAATAATTACTCATGAAGAATTTCGAAATATCCTAATCCTGAAATCGCAGGAATGAGTTTGGGTTACGGTTTCGTGAACTACAAAAATCCGGACGATGCTCAGAAAGCCCTGCAAACGCTGAGCGGACTCCGTCTCCAGAATAAAACAATCAAGGTGTTTATATCTCATTTTTAATCATTTAAATTTAAATTCTTCAATTATTTAATTTACGATATATAATTAATTAAAAATATTTTACAATTTAAAGTTGGAAAATAAAAATGGCATCAATAAATGTATATATGACGTGAGGAGTTTCATTCCGTAATTGCAATCAAGTCATCAATATTATTGTAGCCATCTGTTGAGCGGGCGGACCCAAGCAGATTTTCTTAGGAACAAATAAAAATAGTTTCAGAAAAATCAACAAATAAATCAAATACACACGTACGTACGCACAACATGGCGCAATGTAAGTTAGATCTCATACCTAAACTGTCTTAAACATGAAATTATAGCATGATGACGAAAAATTGATTGATAAGAAGAAAATTTTTCCAACTGATATCAGTGAAAATATCACAAGATGTTGCTGGGTATTGATGTTTTGGTTTAAGTTATCTTGTGTAGTTGTATTAATCTGATGTATTTTTTTGAGTTGCTGTTATTTTTCTTGAGGTAACTTTCATTTCAACTACCACCAGATATGTGTTGGTTATTTTTTAGCCGATAGCATGCGAACAATGTTTGAGTTTTACGCGACGGCTCAAGAATTTTTGTTTTTAAAAAATGTGTATCTGACTGAATTATTTCCAATTTTATCGAAGTAGATCTGTAATGTTTTTATCACTTATTCATTCATGTTTGTTATTTCGGTTAATGGTGTTCAATTGTTCATTTTGGGTTCTTTATAATATTTTTCATTCAATTTTCATCGCCGATTCAAAAATAACACAACGGTATACCTTTTTTAATTCAATCTTTTCATTTTGCATAAAATATAATTTATTTAAAATAACACGGGATATGGATTTTTTAGTGCGTTCATTTTAATTTAGTTTTCTTTTATAAATTTTTTAGTTCGTATTTTTTGATTTTTCTAACCACATTCCGACACTGTGATGAACTCTGCAATCAATTCGTCATCCGTCTGTCTGTCCGTCTGCCTACGTCTGTCTGTCTGTCTGTCTGCCTACGTCTGTGTGTGGCTAGGTTTCCTTGGCTAGGCCGTCTAGTGAAACGATCAAAGGCGCCAATTTATACGTTAGTGGGATTTCTAAGAACTGGCAAGTGACAGAGCTGGATAATTTGTTTAAGCCTTACGGTCAGATAATTACTTCTCGAATTTTATCTGATCCCCAAACTGGTATTTTTATTTTTTATACATTCATAATATATTATTTAATGCATTAATTTTTCTACAGTTGCCTAATTATTTATTTCAATTTTTGAATTTAGTACATTTGAAAGTACATATATGCCTAATTTTAATTCGTTTTTTTATTATTATAAACTTTCATTTTTTTGCTGCTTCCTAATTGGATTTAAATTATTTGGATTCAATAATTTCATTTAGTTGGTGTTCAGTTTAAGTTCCGCTCGCAAGAAAAGCTGAGATGCAAAAAATGAAAGCTAATCTTCTAAAATTATTATAAGACACAAAAATGATTTATAAATAATGAATTAAAATCCTATAAAAAATCAAACAAAATCAAGGTAGAAAAACGTTTCGATGAAAACTTACTTACAGGTCTGTCAAAAGGCGTGGGATTCGTGAGGTTCGACACGAGACCAGAGGCAGAGGCTGCCATCAAGCAGTTGAACGGAACCATTCCAACCGGGACGACAGAGCCCATCACGGTGAAATTTGCAAACACGCCGTCGGCATCAACGGCCAAGACCCCACCAGTCACTCAACTTCCTATCCAAGCAGTTGCAGCTGTTGGAGTCAGTCCAGCCACCGTACAAACGGCTTCTTACTTAGCTCCAACTAGAAGATTGGTCGGTCCTATCCACCATCAGGCCGCTAGAGTCAGGTACGAAAAAAACAAACGATTTAAAATTTACGCAAAATGTCACTTTTTTTGAAATATGTTCACAGAATTATTTGAATTGTTGAATTATAGATACTCACCTTTGGAGAACCCTCTTACTTCTTACACGAACGGGATCATAAGTGGCGCAAGCAACACCAGCCTGAGTACAACTGGATTTTGTTTGTTCGTCTACAATCTTGCTCCAGAGACAGACGAAAGCGTTTTGTGGCAGTTGTTCGGACCATTCGGAGCCGTGCAAAACGTCAAAGTCATGCGAGATGCTTCGACAAAAAAATGCAAAGGATTTGGTTTTGTAACGATGACCAACTACGACGAAGCCCTGCTTGCCATTACGGCCCTCAATGGCTACCCAATCAACAACAGACCCCTTCAGGTCAGCTTTAAAAAAGCGAAGGGTGGAACAGTCCTGCAGCAAGCAGTCAGCCACAGCGTTGCTTCAGCGGCTCTTTCTACTCCAACAATAATGACCATTCCTACCTTACAGTAAATGCCGGCATTCAATTTCTTCATTTGTAATATATGAACTTATTTATAATTTCGTTACAGTCGACAGCATAGTGTAATTGTGAGCTACGAGTCATTTTAATTGTAATATTTGCATACATATATTATATATATTTTAATATTTCGAGTTATTCTTTTCCTGTTTATTGTGTTTTAACAAAATTTTTACATGTCTGTCAATTTATTTGTTGTTGTTTTATTCGATCATTTTTTGCTGAATTTGAATAAAATGTTATGCAATAACTAAACTATTGGATTCAAAATATTTTTACGCAACATAAAAAACGTGGTTCAATCAAAATCATTGAAGTAAGGAGTAGAAAAACATTGTTGAATACTTGGTTAGAGCGGAGAATTGACTCCAACGACAACGCCCTAGCCCTCGATATCCATCAGTTTTCCAAACCAATCCTCAACATCCACAAAACCAATTTTCTAATTTTCACACCAAGATTGTTCCAGATTTATTTTAATGGATCCCAAACCAATGAAAAACGAGGAATGACTGAAATGACGTAAGGGTGGATTAATATCTTTGACGTAACGTCAAAAGTTTTTTTTACAATGTCATTTAATAATTGGATATTTTGGAAACATTTTGATAGAAGTGTGGATTTATTTATTGTTTTAGCGTTGTCCTGTCACTGGTTGCAGCACTGAATTGATAAATTAAATTAATAATTACTATACGTATATACAGGATAAAAAATTAAACCATATATCCTTTATTCTAATTATATGGTATGGGCAATTCGTTGCGAAATCGTTGGAGGAAGTAGTTATTTATATAACAGTAGTTATTTTACTGCATGGTAGTTATTTTATTGCATGGTAGTTAATCAGCCGGTATAAAGGTTATATTCAATTCCTATCAAATAAATTTGGCAAAATATCATACGCAGGCAGAACTAAATAAAGAAATAGATAGATAGATAAATATATATACGTAGTTATAATACATTTATAATGTTGTATTTACACATTCAAATTGTACATTTGTGTTATGGTGTAGTCTCAAATTATTTTGAATTCTCTCAGAAAATTTTAAACGTTTTACCATACTATATATACTAGTCATTTTTATCAACAATTTAAGAATTTTATCAATAATTAAAAAAATTCAAATTGATTTCATTGCGATATCGATAATGATTTTTGTGACCTGACTGATTAAAAAGCATCAAAGAAAGTTAAAATAGGATGGAGAATTTGTTATATTGGGATATTCGTTTAAAAAGCGAGCAAAATTTTAACATAAAAGCGCTTATAAATCTACACATATTGGCTCAGCTTGGCTTGGTTCGGCTTGGAATCGGATGTTAAACAAAGTGTGGTCTCAAACTATTTTGAATTCTTCCAGAAAAATTTGAACTGCGTGCGTACATATATAGTAATGGCTACTGTTGTTTTTTATAATGAAATTATAAAATATATAAATATAGCGAGCAAAATATTAACACAAAAGCGCTTATAAATCTATGCATATTGGCTCAACTTGGCTCGACTCGGCTTGGAATTGGATGTTAAGCAAGGTGTGGTCTCAAACAATTTTGAACACTCCCCGAAAAATTTGAACTGCGTGGTTATATATATAGCACTGATTACTGTTGCTTTTATAATGAATTTTTATTTTATATATATATATATATATATATATATAAAGTGACTGAAATTCATGTATACAAATAATTAATAAGATTATATGTTTATATGAAAAGCAATATAGCAGATTCAACCAGCCAACCAGAAAGTTTCGAAGGCGTTCGTTTGATGACTTTAATTTAGTACGGTTAGCATTGTGGTTAAGACTGTATAATAGTGCAGTATATAAATTAAATAAGTTTTTTACTGATACGAATGATTGAAATGATGAGAATGTATGGTTGAAACGAGTATAAATAGAAGAGCTGAGACAACATGAAAATCAGATCAGCATTCTGCCTCGATTGAAGCAGTCTGCCTGATCTCATTTATTTATTTTAAAAATTTTTTTATTTTTATTTATTTTATTATATAGAGTTATATAGAGTTATATAGTGTTATATAGAGTAATATAGAGTTTGCATGTTTGTAGGTGGTTTGAATGTTTGTAGGTGGTATTTTTTTAAATTTTAGGTGTGATCTATAGCGGTTGCTCATACATACAAATATACATACATCATGTTTGTTTGTGTGGTAGTATTTTATGTTCTGTTTTACTCCTTTTTCTCTTTCTTCATGAGTCTTGAGTTAAGTTAATGAAGCATAGGTAGGTGAGGTAAAAATTAATTTATTATATAGGTAGGCTAGGGCATAAGGTAATTTAGTTACATAGGTAGGTTAGGGACTCCTATTCTTTTACTCTACTTGGTGGTGTGATTTTTGTTTTGTGTTTTTTTTGTTTTGTTTCACACCATACATTCAACAGGTACGCGGTGGTTCCTGGTTTTAGTGGAATTTTTATTGATTGAATGTAGTAGTATGCATGGTTATATAGAGTTATGTAGAGTTATGTAGAGTTATATAGAGTTATATAGAGTTATATAGAGTTATATAGAGTTATATAGAGTTATATAGAGTTATATAGAGCATAAATCCTATATAGATACCTTTCTTTGCTCTTCTTTTCTCTTTTCTTTGCTGACCGGTCGGTTTCTTTGCGGTTATTTTCATTTAAATTGAATAAATAAGATTTTTCCATTCATTTAGGTTTTTTTAGGTTCATTTATCTAGGTTGAAGCTTCCAGAGGACTTTATCGTGGACGATCAGAATGGTTGTGATGTCACGCTACGTTCGTTCATTCGGTGGCAAAGAATGCACGCCCTGCTGGGGTACGTTTTACCGTTTCTTTGCGGTTCTTTTTTTGCCAGTTGGCTGGCTTTTCCGGCGGGTTTCACTGCGGCTCGTTTTTCTATTTTCATTTAAATTAGTCAAATAAATAAGATTTTTCCATTTCATCCATTTCATTCAGGTTGAAGCTTCCAAAGGAATTCACCGTGGAAAATGTCAGGCTACGTTCGTTCATTCAGTGGCAAAGAATACACGCCTGGCTGGGATACGTTTTATTCTTTTTTCACTGTTTTTCTCTGTAATTTAAAGTTAAGTAGGAATGCTCACACGCACACGCACATACACACAATTACATTAAGTAGCTATATAGGTAGGTTAGATAGGCATAATTTTAATTGTAGGTAGGTTAGATAGGAAGCATCTAACACTAATGTAGTTGAATAGGTAGGCGAGTAAGTTTATCGCTTCTATTTTTTCTCGCACCCACATTACACGCATCAGCGTATTACACACACACACACAAATACATACATAAACACATATTAGTATTTGAGCGTTATTTTATTTTCATTACACATTCTAATTTATTATTACTAAGGTTGAGAGTAATTTAATTTCATAGGTAGTTAAGGGCAATAATTTAATTCTAGGATCAATTAAATAAACGCTGTAAGTGTATCGATAGGTAAGTTAGTTATTAAGTTTTACATTATTATTATTAGGTTGGAGCCCAAGGCATTACGTAGGTGGTGGGGTGGGTGCCGAAAGGCCAATGAATTGGGCTCTTGAGTTTTGTAATTTTAGGTAAGTTAGGGCCATAATGTAATGAATAGGTAAGTTAAGGCTACGTTGTAACACACACTCATTAATAGATTTAGGGTTTAAGTTTTATATTATTATTACTAAGTTGGAGCCCAAGGCATTACGTAGGTGGTGGGGTGGGTGCCGATTGGCAAATGAATTGGGCTCTTGAGTTTTTTTGTAATTTTAGGTAAGCTAGGGCTTAATTGTAATGAATAGGTAAGTTGAGGGTACGATAGCCGATAAACTCTGAATTTCGAAGTCTGTTGTCAGAGGTAAGCCTTGGTGGCCAGTGGTGAACCGGCAATGGTTTACTATCCGGACGGCAATGGTTTACTATCTGCACGGTAATGATTTAACATGCGGCACGACCATAGTCTACTACCCGCACGGCTTCCGGACGGCAAATGGTTTACTATCCGCACCGCAATAGTCTACTATCCGCACGGCAATGGTTTTTTATCCGGTGCCCTGGCTGTCGGTGAACCTCTGTGCAAGGATAGAGAATGAAAGGGGACTTTCGACTATCGTACCATTAACAATTTAATATAGATTAGTTAAGGTAGTTGAATAGGTAAATAGGATTATTTTTATTAAGCAATTTGAAATGCAGGCACCGCTAAGCTTTCTGATGAGAATCTACTCTTTCTCTATCTTTCTCCATCAACACGGGCTGTGTTTCAACAACAATCTCGAGGAGGACTGGCACCAGTTTTGGAGGACAACGAAGGAACCGGACCGCATTCAACATTCTGCCTTTGTCGAATGGACGACGGTAAGTTTTTTTTACATTTTACTTACATTATTATTTTAAAATTTTATTTATTTGACATTATTTTCATTTTATAATTTAATTTTTTTTTTGCTTCTAAGATTCTAACATTCATTTACTACTACGCAAATAAAATAAAAATTTGATTACAGAATGATGAGAGGTGGGCAGTGGTGGGAGTCAGCACGTTTAAGATGATGGTCTCATGATGATTTACACATGATGATGGTGGTGTAGGAAGAATCAGCTCGTTGGCTGTTCGACTGACACTCTGAAGTTCGGATGGTATTTTGTGTGCCGACCAGATGGTGGTGGTCGGTGCAATAGAAAGTACAGTAACGACGATTTTTGAAGTAAGGTTTAGTTTTGTTTTTTATTTTTCTCATTCGTTCATTTTATCACTCAACCTTTTTAATTATTCTTCTATTAATTGATTCGTTAATTCATTCTATTCGTTAATTGAATCATTGATTTGTTTATTAATTCATTCATTCACTCATTCATTCAACCAATTATTCAATCATTCAGTTGACCATTTATTCGATCATTCCTTTGTTCCTTGATTTACTAATACGCTAATAAAAAAATGTCTACAGAATGATGAGAGGTGGGCTGTGGTGGGCATCAGCACGTTTCAGATGGAGGTCTCATGATGATCGTTCCGGTGGCAATTCGAAGATAACAACAACGACGGTTTTTGAAGTATGATTTAGTTTCATTTTTTTATTTTTCTCATTCATTCATTCATTTTATCACTATCTTTCAAATTATTCCTCAATTAATTTATTCATTGATTCATTCTATTCATTCATTAAATCATTGGTTGATTAATTAATTAGTTAATTTATTCATTCAACCAATCGTTCAATCATTCAGTTAATCCTTTATTCGTTCGTTCCTTTGTTTCTTGATTTACTAATTTGCTAATTAATAAAAACTTGTCTACAGAATGATGAGAGGTGGGCATGGTGGTCGTCAGCACGTTTCAGATGGTGGTCTCATGATGATCGTTCCGATGACAAATCGAAAATAATGTTAAAGGTAAATTTGTTTTTGTCTCATTGTACATTTGAAAGTACTCGAATTTGAACAAAGATTGAGAGTTATCTCAAAAAGATAAGTTGCCTATTTTTTCCAATTGCTTGTTTTTTATTTTAGTGAATTAATTTTTTTTTTCAATTTATTTTTCAGTATCCGGTCAAATTCATTCCATCGATGCGTGTCAGATGAAGGTCGGTGCAATGGAGGTTCGTTGGTAGTGAGTGAAGTTTCTGGAGAGTGCGCGCCCGCACATTTACATACACGCACACATCAATACAACACATGCATACACAACAGCCATTCATTCGGTGTCGTCGTTGTTATGTTTTTCTTCAACTTTCTATTTTCTTTACCGTGAACCGGGCTTTAATTTAATTCATAGGTAAGTTAGGGACTGAGATGATTTAAACAATTGTAGGTAGGCTAGGGCTTAACATTAGTTAAAAAGCTTCAAGTAAAATAAAAACGCTAAAATATGTTAAATAAAATACTTGAAACATCTAAAACGAGAAATACAAATTTGTAGGTAAGTGAGTTGAGTTAATGATTATAAGTAAGCTAGGGCCCTGAGAGTAATTTAATTGTAGGTAGGTGACTGACTACTATTCTTGCGACTTCTTACTATCTTTGTGTGCTGTGTTTGTTTTCGCTTCCCAACACCCCACCAACAAAACAAACTACATTTCATTCTCGTCGTCGCTTTAAATTGTACCTTTTTGAACAATCTTTTTAATAATGTCTATTTATTTATTCATTAAATGTTGACTGGTTTCTAGTTTTTTTTAAATTGGTTATATAATTTTTGGATATTTCTTGATTTACTTTGTATATATGCATGTATAAATTATTTCTGTTTGGTATATTGATTTAGTCATTATGATATGTTGTGAACTGTTCTTACTAAATGTTCATGTTACGTGGTTTATTATAATATCCTTCGACCGTCAAAAATGAGCGAAGGCCGTTATATTTATTCTAATTATATGGTTTAGAGGTCCTTGACAACACTATTAAAGTTAAATTAACTTTTATGTATTTATGTATATACCTCGCGTTATGAAAGTTGAATTTTTTTGGTTCATTTTTACTCGCTAATGACTAAACCCACACAAACGCACGCGCTAATTAGTGCCAAATAAATTGTGACATTTTAAATTTAATACATTTTCACATTAATTTGCTTTTGCCAAGGAAAAACAGAAAGAATTGTTTTCAAAATTAAGTAATTGATATTTTTATAATAATTTTTTTTTTCAAATTTAAAAACCTAAAATTTTTATTAAAAAATAAGATGTCAATTCCTCTGTTCATCTAATGAACGATGGAGAAAAAACGCCCAGCATCATCATTAGAAGCAGCTACAGCAGCTTCAACATCAGCAGCAGTGGCAGCTTCAGCAGCAGTGGCAGCTTCAACGTCAGCAGCAGCTGATGAAACAGAAAAAGTTAATAATGATTTTCAAAGTCAAAATGCTGGGTATATATAATATACTTATATAATTAATTAAATAATTAATTAATTAATTTAAATATTTTGTTACTTATTTGTATTTATATTAATGTTTATTTAATTATTGTCTTTTTGAAAAATGATTTGTTACAGAGAGACATTGCTAGAGAAGGAGGGAACAGTATGCAATTTTTATCCTTTCACTTTGTTTTTCTATCCATCTCTTCATCCATGCACACACTCACACACGCACATACAAACACACACACATACAAATCAAAATACAGATTATAAATGACCCTATCCACGGTCACATTGAAATCAGCCCCCTCTGCATGGCCATCGTAAACACCCCGCAGTTTCAGAGGTTGAGGTACATTAAGCAGGTTGGATCGAGTTCCCTGGTCTACCCTGGAGCTGTTCACACAAGATTTGAGCATAGTATCGGGTTTGTTTGCATGTGTGCATGTGTACGTGTTTGTATATTAGTATGTGTATGTGTGTGTTTCTATATTACTATGTGTGTGCACGTGTGTATGTACGTGTTTGTATATTAGTATGTGTGTGTTTGTGTGTATGTGTTTGTATATTAGTACGTGTGTGTGTGAGTGTATGTGTTTGTATATTAGTATGCGTGCGTGTGGGTGTGTACTTGTTTGTATATTAGTATGTGGTGTGGGCGTGTGTATGTGTTTGTGTGTATACATGTTTGTATGTTTGTATATTAGTATGTGTGTGTGTGTTTAAGTGCTTGTATGTTTGTATATTAGTATGTCCGTGAAAATTATTTGATTGGTGTGTGTATGCGTGTGTGTGTATGTATGCGTGTATGGATGTGTGTGTATATGTAATGTATGTCTGTTTTTTTGTAGAGTGTGTCACCTGGCAGAAACATTATGTAGAACCCTGCAACAAAAGCAGCCTGAGCTGAATATCACCGAATCCGATGTGTCATGCGTCGCTATTGCTGGATTGTGTCATGATTTGGGTATGTGTGTGTGTTTTTACGTGTGCGTATGTGTATATATCATTACATTACAAATCAGGCCATGGACCTTTTTCGCACCTGTATGATCAGCTGTTTGTTCCTATCTTCAGGAGATTTGTGAAACTACCTGCTTGGAAGGTTTGTTTGTTTGTTTGTGTGCTTATTTGTATGTTTGTTCGTTTGTAAGTTTATTTGTTTGTTTGTGTGGTTTTCTGTTATCTGTATGTCGAGTTGTGTGTGCTGGTATAGATGTTTGTATGTTACAAACATACAAACATACATACAAACAGCACGAAAAAGGTTCAGTTGATATGCTAGACTACCTATTAAAAGTGAATAACTTGAAGCATCTCTTCAGCGATGACGACCTGATATTCATCAAAGAGCAAATTCTTCCCCCTCCGAACAAAGATGTATTATCTTTTTTCTCTTCCATTTGTTTGATTGTTCATTTATTCGTTTTTTCATCCATTCGGTCATCATTCATTCATTCATCCATTCATTCATTCGTTCATTCATTTTTTCTATCTTCATTAATTTACCTCATGTAAATTGTTTTTTCAAGGATTACAAGGGAAGAGGTCAGGACAAGTTGTTTCTCTACGAGGTCTGCCAGATTTCACTCTTATTTTAATTACAAACACACTCACGCACACTCACGCACGCACGCACAGATTGTAGCCAACAAACGGAATGGGATCGACGTAGACAAGTGGGATTACTTCCTTCGGGATAGTTACTATTTGGGTTTGAAAGTTTCGTTCGATCCAGGTCGACTTCTTAAATTTGTTAGGGTTATCAATGTCGATGGGGAGAAACAGATCTGTGCCAGGGCTAAGGTCTGGTTGGTTGGTTGATCGATTGATTGATTGATTGATCGATCGATTGATTATTGATTGATTGACAACCTAGGAAGTGGACAATCTGTATGAGATGTACCACTGCAGAATCAGTCTCTACAAACAAGCCTACCTCCACAAGACCACCATGATCATTGATTACATGTAGGCTGTTGTTGTTGTCGTAGTTGACGATGATAGTAATGATGATGATAGTGATGATGAGGATAGTGATGATGATGTTGTTGTTGTTGTTCTTGATAGTGATGATGATGACGGTGATAGTGGTGTGGAAATTGTACTCTGACACACAACTGTCACATAGTCTGGCAAAAATTTAAATAACAATGTAGCCAACGACAACAACAACAACACAAGCAACAAAACAGACAGCAAAACAGAACAGAACCATTAATTTTTTATTTCAGGATCTGTGAAGCTTTGAGGCTGGCCGATGATCACCTCTGCTTCCCTGGCACCAATGGGTCATTATCCTTTGTCGTCTCCTCGCGTTTTTTTTATTCGTCTATGTTTATTTGTCTATGTTTAGTTGTTTATGTTTACTTGTTTATGTGGTGGTTATTTGTTTTTGTCGCGGTTATCAATCTTTGATGAGTAGTGCGCAGAAGTGAGAAAGAGAGCGAGAGAGAGAGAGAGAGAGAGATAGGATTCTTTATCACAATTAATAAAACACTGCAAAAACAACAACAAATACCACAAACAGGCACACAACAACTCACGAAAAACAAACAAACAAACAACTCACCTTAAACATCATCTACAAATGGCAAACTAGAAAACTCTACAAGATGTCGGAATGCATGAACGATATGGAGGCCTTCTGGAAAATGACGGACGACATCATCCTTCGAATTCTCCACACCCGCAAGCCAGAACTTTCCAGATCGAGGGAATGGATTAGGAGAGTCTTTTCGAGGAAGCTACCTAAAATTGTTGGACTCGTAAAGGAATCTGATGTTGGTTTACATGTCTCTGTGCCTCTTTGTGTGTGTGTTTGTGGCTGTGTTTGTTTGTTTGTGTATGTGAGTGAGTGGCTGTGTGTGTGTGGCTGTATGTGTGTGTGTTGTGTGTGTGTGTGGCTGTATGTGGCTGTATGTGTGTGTGTGTGTTTGTGTGTGTGTTTGTTTGACACAAGCATGCATTGTAAACGTTCACAGAATTCAAGGTTGAAATGGAGCGCTGACTGGGTGCATGAACAGCTCGTCATAGAGAGTGTACTGTTAAGAATGGGCCTCACCACTGATGATTTCATCGTTATCGTTAGTCTACTCATTCATTCATTCATTCATTTATTCATTCATCCATTCAGTCAATCATTCGTCCCTTCTTTCATTTACCAATTTTTTCACACAGACATACACACCCACACTCACAAACAGGCGTGCATACATGCACGCATACATCCAATCAAACACACACACACATACATACACACGCACATACGCACACACACACATACACACACACGTACACACACAGAAACGTTCTTTTGATTATGGTATGAAAGAGAAGAACCCACTTGAAAACTGCATGTTCTACAGTAAACATGATCCAGACGTTGCTTACCAAGTGAGGAAGAATCAAGTGCGTTATCATGATGCTATTGTTATTTGTCTAGCTCTCAATCAACCAATCAATCAATTATTCATCCAATAAATCATTCAACTAATCAATCATTCATTCAATCAATCATTTAATTAATCAATCATTCATTTAATCAATCAGTCAATCAGCCATGCAATCGTTCTTTGATTTATTAAATAATAATTTAATCAAATTTTGTGTTATGTTCGAATCACCCAATCAACCAGCGAATTAATCTCTATATTTTACGGCCAATCAATCAACCAACCAACCATTTAATCAACTCACCAACCAATCATCAATCAATCAGCTAACCAACCAACCAATCATTAATCATTCAACAAACCAACCAATCATCAATCATTCAACTAACCAACCAACAACCGATCAACTCAGGTCTCGTCATTTTTACCTGAAAAATTTCACGAAGTCCAGTACCTGGTCTATTGCAACGAGGATGAGAAAAAAAGTGTGGCCAACGAGGTCTACGTAGCCGTCTGTCTTAAACACAATCTTCTCATCAGCAAAGTCATTATTATAATTATTATTATTTATAATTATCATTATTCATAATTATTCATATTTATTATTATAATTTATTATTTTTTATTATTATGGTTTCTGTTAAAGCACTTCTGTTGATCCTCGTCAGTAATGTTACGTGCATGTTCGGATTGTTGTGTTGTTACTGCTGTTATTATGGCTATAATTTATTTCATTATAATTTATATATTATTACTATTTACATTTGATAATTATAATAATTATTATTATTTATGAATATTTTCTTTCTAATTCAATCTAGGGTGCCGAGCAGAATGGCCTGATGATGACGCCAATAAGGAAAGATTATTTCCAGGTGGCTCCAAGTATCATTTTGAAGTCGCATCGTTCACTCATTCTTTCATTCATTCATTCACTCATTCATTTCCTCATTCATTCATTCTATCATTCATTCATTCATTCACCCATTCATGCACGCACTTATTCCTCCGTTATATTCATTCACTCACTCTCTGATCAGCCGTCCGACGAACCTGCTCTGAAGAAAAGGCGCGAAAGTTTGCACAGGAATCTCGTGAACGAATTCCTCGCCAGCAAGGGTGTCGACATTACGGGCAACTTGTAAAATGAACTTCTTTTTTTGTGGCATCCTTCTTCACAAATTTGAAAGTCGTTCACTGCTCTTGCTATCCAGTTGTATTTTTTGTTGTTTTTTTTTGTTGAAAAAGTTAATAAAAATGTGATAAAAAGTCATTCATCTCAAAGATATTTAGGTGACAATACCCCGGGTTTGTATAGTTGATATGTGTATGTATGTGTGTACGTTCTATATTAATTATTACTTTTTATTACTTATTATTCTCGCACGATCAATTTTTTCTCACGTAATTCATGTAAATGGTTTAAACGTTCAGTTAAAATCCTTCGTTATTACTGTCTAGATAGTTAGATGTGTTCATCTTCCAGTTTGAAATGTCTCATTATTTTATATTTTTGGATTTGAAGTTATGAAAAGGTACACTTTATCACTTGCACATGCGCCTGTGTGTGTTATAGTTTTGTTTATTTCAAATGAAGAACGTTCATCAATCAATTAAAATTAACTAATCGCAATTAATCAAACAAACATTTAACTTATAAAACAAACAATCAACTAATAAAACAAACAATTAACCAATTAAAATTAATATTTCACATTTCACTGAATAAAAGTTTACTTGAATTCATCTGACACACACCACACACACACACACACACACATATATATATATATATATATATATATATATATATACCAGCAATCAAAGAAACCTGTGAATGGTTATTTGTTGAATATAATATATATATATATAACACAATCACGCAATATAAACAAATAAATATAAATATATAACACACAATATAAACAAATGGTGGTTAAGAATCTTCACTATGGAAATATACAACCCATAACATTATATATGTATGCAAATATATATCACCCTGATAAAAAAGCCACAATTAAAAAAATAACTTAATTAACTAATTAATTAATTGATAATTTAATAAAGGTAAAGTTAAACTGAATCAATTAGACCCAAGACAATTGGCCATAACCTAATTGGCAGAAATGGTTATAATGGTGATTGACAAGAATAATAATAATAAATATAATAACAATAATGAAAATAATAATTTGATTCATTAATTTCTTCTTCATTTCCTGGCTTTATCATAGTTCTCCACGAACCAATCACAAGTTTCTTTGATTGCTGGAAGGATGGACGAATGTGAATGAATGGTGAATGAATTGATTGATAGATAGTCGAATGGATGAATTGATAGATGAATTAATAGATAAATGGATGAATTAACTGACGGAATGGTCTGGTAGATGGATAGTTGAATCAACCATGAATTAATTATTCATTAAATTAGTAAAATATTCCAATAAAACACACAAACACGCACACACGGACATACAAACAAACACATGCACACAGACGCACGCACACACCTTGTTCGATGGGTGTGAACTTGAAATCAGGGAGGTACTTTCTCAACTTCGCATTACTAGCTGTCTTCTTGTACTGACCATCAGATTTAGAAGCGTCATACTAAGAAATAATGATAATAATAAAAACACAAATAATAAGCCAGTCAATCATTAAATGAAATTAATCAATCGATCAAAGCAAGTCCATATGTGCCATCAATTATCAACTAATCCAACCAAATCCTAACGTACACACATACACACGATAATAACGATTATGTTAATTTTATAATTAAAAATAATTATAGTTGAAAAATAATTATACTAACAACAACAGGCCCTTGAAAATTCATAGCCCTGACGACCATTTCAGCTGCCTGCTTTATTGAAACTTCATCCTCCTCTCCAACTGTTCAATTTCAATTGTAGTAATAATCATAATTACCACTATAATTATTAATAATAACAAATTAAAGGACAGACCAGATAGAATGATGGGTTCAATTTCGTCATAATCCCTGAGAACCCAGATGAAGAGCCGGGCCAGGTCGAGGGAGTAGATGAACTGCCTCAATGGCGCACCAGTGCCCCAGATTGTAAAAGCCTCGTTGTTTTCTTTATTGGTTGGTTGGATGATTGGTTAGTTGGATGATTGGTTGGTTAGATAATTGGTTGGTTGGATGATTGGTTGGTTGGATGATTGGTTAAATGACTTGTTGATTGCTGTTTGAATGATTGATTGATTGACGGGTTTATTCATTTATTGACCTGAATGACGGATTTTTGGCTCTGTGAATAATTTTAAAATCCCTACTATAACATAATACAACACAAAATAACGCAAAAATCTGTCTAGTCTGCTAGAAGTTGCAGTCAGTCAGACAATCAAAGAACTAACCACTCAACCCACCAGCCAAGCAACCAGCCAGCCAACTAGACATGTCTACAAACCAATGAACCACTTACTCTTAGCCAAATATATCTTATGCATGAGACCAGGCAGGACGTGTCCATCCTCAATGTTGAAATTGTCGTGCGGCCCAAAAACATTCGTCGGTATGACGCTGGTGAACTGGCAGCCATGCTCCTCATGGTAACCTCTGTCGTTGACGTCATCAACATCATCACCACCGTCATCATTATCACTATCACCATCATCACTGTCATCACCATCATTATCACTATAACCGTCATAATCATTATCAGCACCTCAACTCACTTATTTTGCACGTCAATCATTCTTTTAGCATAAGAGTAACCAAAGTTTGAATCATGAGGTGGCCCATTGTGAACCTGAAAACCAAGTGCATTAAGTACAAAACAAGTACAATAAGAACAACAAAAGGACATTACTTATGACATAAATGCATCGAGTGTAACAAAACAAACCATGGTTTCATCAATAGGGTAGGTGGTTTTATTGGGGAATATGCATGTAGAGAGGCATGACACGACTTTTTTAACTTTCATTTCGTAAGAATTGTGCAGTATGTTGTCATTCATTAACATGTTCCTTCTCTGATGATGTGTATGTAGTAGAAAGCAATTTGTTTATATTTTATTATTTATTCTTTAAATTTTAGGTATTTATTTATTTTTTTTAAATTCTTTAAAAAATCTCTGAAACAGAAAATTCTTAAAACAAAAAAAAATCTTACAAAAAAAGCCAGATTGTGTTTGAGATTCTTGAATAGTCCCCCAACCATTGCAGCAAGATGAATGACATGCGTTGGGTGCACACGTTCAAATAAGGTCTTCGTTTCATCTAAATTACTTTTAGACAATCATCCATATCATAGTAGACTAAATATTACATTTCTTTAAAAATTAATTATTTTACTTTTAGTTGTTTAAAAATATTTTGTTTACTAGAAGTAAAATAATTTATTCATTGTTTGTTTATTATATTTCACTATTTTTAGTTATTATGGTATGTTTCTTGTTTGCAAATTCACTACTCATAGGTTTCTAAATCATTATTATAATATAATCTTGACTACAGAGTGCAAACCAGACTGCAATAGCAATGGCTAGGCAGCATATTATTAATAAAGAAATTTAAAATCTTCACTCACGTAAGGTCGGCATCCTTCGACGATAGAAAGATCCATTCTTCATTTTCTCTTTTTTCTTCAGTCTCCACAATCTTTTTAATGGCCTGGCCGACCAGCCCGGAGCCGCCGGTGACCAGGATTATTTTTTTATCGCCCGACATCTGAAAAAATTTCATTTAAATAATTTTTAATAATATTTAATTGAATATAATTCTTTAAAAATGTTGAATTTAAATGCAATTTTGTAAAAAAAAAACCCATCTTTATTTACCTTGCACGACCACAATTAAGTTTACTTTTAAGCATTAACAGTTAACACGTAACCAATGGATTTACACCACATAACTAAAATAAATATAACGGCCTTCGCTCACTTTTAACGGTCGAACAAGGAGCTTACTTCCGGAAGAGATTTGGAGGGTGATTTATTATCGTTCGAGTCAAGAGTCGGGCTATTTGACATGCTTGGATTATTGGCTTACGAAATTGCAATCAATCAATCAATCAATTAGCTTATAAAGCGCTATTTCCGCGATGTTCAACAGCGCTCCTCAATGAATTTTGAAAACAGATGGGTCTTGAGACCCGCTCTTAACTTCGCAAGTGATGGAGAAGTAGTCAGAGAAGTAGGTAGAGTTCCAGAGAGAAGGACCAGAAAAAGCAAAAGCAGATTTGGCAAAAGAGTGTTTAACACGAGTTAAGAAAAAGCGAGAAGAAGACGATCGTAAACCGATCGTAAATCTGATAAATACTTAGGAAATAATTTAGATTGAGACTTATACATGAACGTGCAAATATTAAAAATTATTCTATATTTTATAGGTAGCCAGAGCAAGAGAACAAGATATGGAGATATATGAGAAAAGAAAGGGGCACGAGCAACTAGACGAGCAGCAGAGTTAAAAGCTTTACTTAAAGGATAGAGTATAGAGTCAGGAAGACCATAGTAGAGCGAGTTACAATAATCAATCCTAGATAAGACTAACGAAGTAACAAGAAGGAGAAGAGTAGGATCGTCAAGAAAAGGCAAAAGTTTTTTTATTCTACGTAGATGAAAGTAAGAGCTTCTAGCAACACTGTTAATCTGAGAAGAGAGAGACATAGTAGAATCAAAGATAAAACCTAGACAACGAAACTTATGAGAGACATCAAGAGTTTTAGAATCAGGTAAGATAATAGGAGGAATAGTAATAGAGTTTTTAGATTTATTAAAACAAATTAATTCAAACTTAGAAGGATTAAGTTTAAGACACATAGAGTCAGACCAAGCAATAATTGAAGAAAGACATAGAGATAAATTATGAAGAACACTATTGAGATTAGATGGAGGAAAAGAAGTATAAATGTAAGAATCATCAGCATCTAGTTGACTAGAGAAAGAAAAGTTATTAATAATACGAGGTAGTTCAGAAGTATAGAGTATAAATAGAAAAGGGCCAAGGATAGAACCCTGAGGTACCCCGAAAGTAAGAGTAGAGGAGTTAGAAGTAGAATTATTGAGAACAACAGAAGAAAAACGATTACAGAGATAAGAAGAAAACCAAGATAGACAAGAATCAGTAATATTAAAAGAATGATGCAGCAGTCTCAAGAGAATAGTATGGTCTGTTGAGTTTTGTTTTATATTAAAACATTATGATTTATAATATACATTTATTTTTTTTTGGACCAAATGTTCTTTGCTTTGTACGTAACTTCACTTTTTCCTTTTCTGTTGATCCGGTGGATAATAAACAAGACGAGAACGTTGCTTGGTTTATTTCTCTTCTTTTAATGTCTTTCAATATTATATCAATTAATTAAACGATCTACGTAACAAGAAATTTAACATGGTCAACAGTATCAAAAGCCGAGGAAAAGTCAAGAGCAAGAAGAAGAGTAAGATTACTATTGTCACTAGGGAGAAGGATATCATTGTGTATTTTGAGTAAAGAAGTTTCAGTACTGTGAGCAGGTCTGAAACCATGCATGGATTTTAACGAGCAAGCTATATGAAATATTTACTTGACTTAATATGCTTAAAACATTGTAGTAATTCTCTTTAATTTTATTAAATAAAATTATGATTTTATTAAATAAAATTATTTATTATTAAATTATTGTTGTTAATTTGAATATAAAAATTATACTTTTGGTTCTGTGAAATCAGGTGGCTTTTTCCTGAAGCCGAAGGTTGGCTTAGTAGGATTGAACTAAAGTCACCCTTTTTTACACTATTCGATCATGTTAAAAATTTGTTTGCTCATGAAATTAACGGCCTAAATAGATCAAAATTGTTATTTGAACAACTATCTTCATTATATTCAATGAATATTTTACATTCTGCTGGTGCTCATAGAAATTATAGTTGCTGAAATCATACGTTGGCTTACTGCAGTGGCTTACTGGGTCTCATACAACAGTGTCATGGCGGTTTTCTTTACATATAATGCTTTAAATAAGTCAATATATTCATTTCGCAATTATTTTTGTCAATATAAATTAAGAAATTGCTTTTGTCTGGTAAAATACAGTGGCCAAGTAAAGCCGTATGTTGGCTTAATCGGATTTTTTTTTCATATATACAATACTATGAGATCAATCAATCAACCAATCAATCAACCCACCAACCATTCATTCAATCAACTAATCAACCAACCAATCGACCAATCAATGAACCATATTTGAAAAATATTTGCAAGGCTTGTTCAAACTCGAACAAAAACTTAACTGTACAGATCTACAAACAATTTCGAGATTTTAGTAAAGAAAGAAAAACAATAGTTGCTTTTATTAAATCAAGAAATATCCAAAAATTATATAACCAAATTAAAAAAACTAGAAACCAGTCAACATTTAATAAATAATTAAATAAATAGATATTATTAAAAAGATTGTCCAAAAAGGTAAAATTTAAGGCGACGACGAGAATGAAATGTAGTTTGTTTTGTTGGTGGGGTGTTGGGAAGCGAAAACAAACACATCACACAAACAAGCAATTGGAAAAAATAGGCAACTTATCTTTTTGAGATAACACTCAATCTTTGTTCAAATTCGAGTACTTTCAAATGTACAATGAGACAAAAACAAATTTACCTTTAACATTATCTTCGATTTGTCATCGGAACGATCATCATGAGACCACCATCTGAAACGTGCTGACGCCCACCACAGCCCACCTCTCATCATTCTGTAGACAAGTTTTTATTAATTAGCAAATTAGTAAATCAAGAAACAAAGGAACGAACGAATAAAGGATTAACTGAATGATTGAACGATTGGTTGAATGAATAAATTAACTAATTAATTAATCAACCAATGATTTAATGAATGAATAGAATGAATCAATAAATAAATTAATTGAGGAATAATTTGAAAGATAGTGATAAAATGAATGAATGAATGAATGAGAAAAATAAAAAAAGAAACTAAATCATACTTCAAAAACTGTCGTTACTGTTATCTTCGAATTGTCATCGGAACGATCTTCATGAGACCTCCATCTGAAACGTGCTGATGCCCACCACAGCTCACCTCTCATCATTCTGTAGACATTTTTTATTAGCGTATTAGTAAATCAAGGAACGATCGAATAAATAACTGAATGATTGAATAATTGGTTAAATGAATAAGTGAATGAATGAATTAATAAATCAATGATTCAATTAATGAATAGAATGAATTAACGAATCAATTAATAGATGAATAATTCAAAAGGTTGAGTGAAAAAATGAACGAATGAGAAAAATAAAAAACGAAACTAAACCTTACTTCAAAAATCGTCGTTACTGTACTTTCTATTGCACCGACCACCACCATCTGGTCGGCACACAAAATACCATCCGAACTTCAGAGTGTCAGTCGAACAGCCAACGAGCTGATTCTTCCTACACCACTATCATCATATGTAGATCATCATGAGACCATCATCTAAAACGTGCTGACTCCCACCACCGCCCACCTCTCATCATTTTGTAGACAATTTTTTATTAGCGTAGTAGTAAATGAATGTTAGAAGCTTAGAAGCAAAAAATTATAAAATGGAAATAATGGCAAATACATAATAAATGAAAATAATAAAAAGATTAAAATGTAAAATAAAAACTTACCGTCGTCCATTCGACAAAGGCAGAATGTTGAATGCTTTCCGGTTTCTACGTTGACCTCCAAAACTGGTACCAGTCCTCCTCGAGATTGTTGTTGAAACACAGCCCGTGTTGATGGAGAAAGATAAAGAGAAGATTCTCATCAGAAAGCTTAGCGGTGCCTGCATCTCAAATTGCTTAATAAAAATAATCCTATCTACCTATTCAATTACCTTAACTAATCTATAAATTAATGGTACGATAGTCGAAAGTCCCCCTTCATTCTCCATCCTTGCACAGAGGTTCACCGACAGCCAGGGCACCGGATAGTAAACCATTGCCGTGCGGATAGTAGACTATTGCGGTGCGGATAGTAAACCATTTGCCGTCCGGAAGCCGTGCGGGTAGTAGACTATGGTCGTGCCGCATGTTAAATCATTACCGTGCAGATAGTAAACCATTGCCGTCCGGATAGTAAACCATTGCCGGTTCACCACTGGCCACCAAGGCTTACCTCTGACAAGAGACTTCGAAATTCAGAGTCTATCGGCTATCGACCCTCAACTTACCTATTCATTACAATTAAGCCCTAGCTTATCTAAAAATTACAAAACTCAAGAGCCCAATTCATTGGCCAATCGGCACCCACCCCACCACCTACGTAATGCCTTGGGCTCCAACTTAATAATAATATAAAACTTAAACCCTAGGTCTATTAATGAGTATGTGTTACAACGTAGCCTTAACTTACCTATTCATTACATTATTGTCCTAGCTTACCTAAAATTACAAAACTCAAGAGCCCAATTCATTGGCCTTTCGGCACCCACCCCACCACCTACGTAATGCCTTGGGCTCCAACATAATAATAATAATATAAAACTTAATAATTAACCTACCTATCAATACACTTACAGCGTTTTAATTTACATTAGAAGATTGTTCCTAGAATTACATTATTGCCCTTAACTACCTATGAAATTAAATTACTCTCAACCTTAGTAATAATTTAGAATGTGTAATGAAAATAAAATTACGCTCAAATACTAACATATGTGTTTATGTATGTATTTGTGCGTGTGTGTAATACGCTGATGCGTGTAATGTGGGTGCAAGAAAAAATAGAAGCGATAAACTTACGCGCCTACCTATCAACTACATTAGTGTTGGATGCTTCCTATCTATCCTACCTACAATTAAAATTATGCCTATCTAACCTACCTATATAGCTACTTAATGTAATTGTGTGTGTGTGTGTGTGTGTGTGTGTGTGTGTGCGTGTAAGCATTCTTACTTATTTTTAAATTACAGAGAAAAAAGAATAAAACGTATCCCAGCCAGGCGTGTATTCTTTTCCTCTGAATGAATGAACGTAGCCTGACATCTTCCATGAACTCCTCTGGAAGCTTCAGCCTGAATGAAATGAAAAAATCTTATTTAATTAATTTAAATGAAAATATAGAAACGAGCCGCGGTGAAACCCGCCAGCCGGAAAAGCCAGCCAATTGGCAAAAAGAGAAACCGCAAAGAAACCGTAAAACGAACCCCAGCCAGGCGTGCATTCTTTGACACTGAATGAACGAACGTAGCGTGACATCACAACCATTCTGATCTTCCACGATGAACTCCTCCGGAAGCTTCAACCTGAATGAATGAACCTGAAAGAACCTAAATGAATGAACAAATCTTATTTAATTAATTTGAATGAAAATAGAGAAACGCAAAGAAGCTGACCGGTCGGCAAAGAAAAGAACCTCAAAGAAAGGTATCTATATAGGATTTATGCTCTATATAACTCTATATAACTCTATATAACTCTATATAACTCTATATAACTCTATATAACTCTATATAACTCTATATAACTCTATATAACTCTATATAACTCTATATAACTCTATATAACTCTATATAACTCTATATAACTCTATATAACTCTATATAACTCTATATAACTCTATATAACTCTATATAACTCTATATAACTCTATATAACTCTATATAACTCTATATAGCCATGCATACTACTACATTCAATCAATAAAAATCCCACTAAAACCAGGAACCTGCGTACCTGCTGAATGTATGGTGTGAAACAAAACAAAACAAAAACACAAAACAAAAGACACACCACAAAGTAGAGTAAAAGAATAGGAGTCCCTAACCTACCTATATAACTAAATTACCTTATCCCCTAGCCTACCTATATAATAAATTAATTTTTAATCTCACCTACCTATGTTTCATTAACTTAACTCAAGACTCATGAAGGAAGAGAAAAAAGAGTAAAACAGAACATAAAATACTACCACACAAACAAACATGATGTATGAATGTGTGTATGAGCAACCGCTAAAGAACCCACCTAAAATATAAAAAAAATACCACACACAAACCACAGGCAACATATATAACTCTATACAATAAAATAAAAAAATTATAAAAATAAAATAAATGAGATCAAGCAGACTGCTTCAAGCGAAACAGAATGCCTGATCTGATTTTCATGTTGTCTCAGCTCCTATTTATACTCGTTTCAACCATACATTTTCATCATTCACATCAGTATAATATAAATTTATTATAAAAGCAATAGTAATCAGTGCTATACATGTACACACGCAGTTCAAATTTTTCGGGAAGAATTCAAAATAGTTTGAGACCACACCTTTTTTAACATACAATTCCAAGTCGAGCTAAGCCAAGCTAAGCCAATGTTCATAGATTTATATATATGTACGCACGCAGTTCAAATTTTTCCGGAAAAATTCAAAATAGTTTGAGACTCCACCTTGCTTAATATTAAAATTTTGCTCGCTTTATTTACGAACATCCCAATATAACAAATTCTCCATCCTATTTTAAAAATATTCTTTAATGCTTTTTAATCAGTCAGGTCACAAAAATCATTATCGATATCGCGATGAAATTAAATTGAAATTTTTTTTAAATTGTTGATAAAAGTAACTAGTATATAGTAAAAAGTTTAAATTTTTCTGAGAGAATTCAAAATAATTTGAGACTACACCATATATATATATATATATATTTTTTTTATTTAGTTATGCCTACGTATAATATTTGGTTTGGTCAAATTTGATAGGAATTGAACACAACTTTTATACCGGCTGATTAACTACCGTGCAGTAAAATAACTACTAGTGTTAACATGACGTCATTTCCTTCAACGATTTCGCAACGAATTACCCATCCTATTTAATAATTATTATTTGATGTTTTTTAATTTGTAACGCCACAATCATCATCATCGATAAAGCAATTAAATCAAATTGAGAATTTTTAAAATTTTTGAAAAATGTACCCTTATTCATTTTATGATACTACTTTGTTCAATAAGATGCTGTTTGATACATATAACTAGAATAAATATAACGGCCTTCGCTCACTTTCAACGGTTGAACAAGGAGCTTACTTCTGGAGGGGAGATGGAGGGTGATTTTTTATAGTTCGAGTCAAAAGTTACGATAGTATATTTACTAATTACAATATATTGCTTTTATTTAAAATGTTCAAATTTTATTTTTTTAAATTGTTATCCACTATGGTAATTAATTACTTTTATTTGGTATAAATTTAAACAAATAAAATCGACATTACCAAAATAAATTAAAAGTTGCAAAAATTGAGATTCTTTGCATATCCCTGCTCCAACCCATAAGAAAGTGTTGTTTAATGGTAAATAGGCCTCCCCTTGATTTACACCATACATAGGTAGTAAAATTTTCAAACAATTTTTATAAAAATAAAAATTAAATAATTTAAATATTTATTAAAATTATTATAAATAATTTAAAATTAAAAACTTGCTAAAATAATTTATAAAAATTAGAATACCAAAAACAATTTTTTTCACTTTTTTTATACTTTGTAAAATTTCCAATTTTTCAGTTGGAATTTCCATTGAAAATCCCCAGCCGCCAAATAAGGAAGGGAATTTAATATTTTAAATGGCATCTCAGAAAGCTCTGATAGATCCGTTTGACTTCCACCTGTACATTGGTAGCTCATTAGATTTTATTCACACAACAAATTTTATTAAAAAAAAATTCAGTGACCTGGGTCTTCTGGTAAAGTTAAAGTACGACGAGCCGTCACATGAAACCGAACTGACGAACGTTCATGATGGCATCTCAAAAAGCTTTCGATCTTTAATATTTGTGACGGATTCATATTTTGAAGACCCATTTTTTAATGAAGAAAAGTCCAGGCTCCTGCAAAAGTGTAAGATGTTCACCGATAAGGCAGTTTTGATAATATTGATATCGGATGAAGAGGTGATAAAAGACATGGAAGGTGCTAAAAAAATATTTCAAGATTTTGAACAACTGATCGTATCAAAAAGTGATCTCAAAGAGGATAAATTTTACAAAGATTTAATAAGCTCTCTAATTGACGGTCAATATAATAGATTAAATTAATGATACAAACTTCATCTTATTTAAAAATTCATTTTTTTCAAATTTCCAGTCAACCCAAACCTAAATTTGATTCATCTCCCTAAAGCAAATATGGGACAAGAGGCAGCTTACAGATACTTTTATGGGTTTTTAAGGCTGGTTCTCCCAGGTTTTCCATAAGATACTTTCTATTTTTTAATAATTATTTGCTCCCTTTATTCACCCTATTTTAGCAACCAAAGCACAATAATTTTCCAAAAATTGTATTTAATTTATTAATTTATTGTCACACGTTTGTTTTAATTTGTATCTTTATTATTTGAATTTTCCAGATTTATCGATAAAATCTTTCGAAGGATTTGAAAAAATAGGGCAGAATATAATCTCAAAAATGTTGATAATAATTCCAGAGGACTGCTTCTGTAGGGTGACATTGGATACACAGGATAAGTTGATAGAAACCACGAAACAATTCATTACTACGATTGCAAACAGAGCCGGCACACTGGAAAGACATTACAAGAGCTCAATTCATAAAATTCTCGATGAAAATGTCCGTTAAATGTTTGATCGTTTTACATTTTTCATTTTTTTCCGTTTTATACATCAAATTTAAATTATTTTTTAAACAATTTGAAGAAAAAAGAATGCTATTATTTTGTTGGAGAATTCGCGGCACCCTTACTGTCCATATACGAAAACTTTCTATTTGGCCTGTCTGGCATAACCCAGGAGGAACTTTACCAAGAGAGAAATGTGTTTCTAGTAACTTTGAGATCAATTCTAAATCACGAAACAAACCATAAAGTGAAAGATAAATATAAGCTTCTGTTTTGGAGGAACATTGGTTTAGGTTGCTTTTGGATTTACTGAATTTTATTTCATTTTTATTATTTCATAAATCGTATTTTTTTTTTTAATAAAAGACCGCTCAGAGCTAGATGGGTCACTTTATAATCTGATTTGGGCAGTCGTTAAGGAAGAATTAACTTCAACGCGTTAGATGTATTTCAACCCACCTTCAAAAAAAACTTTTTTTTTATAACTTTTCTAAATGTTTAAAATTAAATAAATATTTATAAGCATAAAAGTGAAATTTTTGAAACCAGTCGAAACACTCAATTTGGAAGAAGACAGCTGCCAAATTGTTGAAGCTCCAACAAAAGCCCACACGCAGATAATTAGGACCGAATGGTCGTTTAAGAAAGGTTTTTGATGAATAATAAAAATACGTTTGATGACATCATTCAGTTACGTCACAGGCTATCAAAAAATACTATTTGAGCTAATATATTTTCTTGAAGATGTATGCAAGAACTTGGCGAGATACAACTTATCGCAAACTGTCAGAGGAAAGTGTTTGGCATTTATATTTACAGAGTGTCTCGATGAACCTGGAGTCAGATCTGGTTGTCAACATGATGAAAGTAGGTTCAATTTTAATGAAATTTTTTCAATTATCTATTTTTTTTACTCATTCAAACGCAGAATACATCCGCGAAACCTTCGAAAGTTTAAGGTTCGAAGTTCATATTCACTACGACCTAACAAATAGCGAATTCGAAAAGGAATTACTAAAGTACCAGATGATGGACCACAGCTCGTACGGAGCTTTCGCCTGCTGCATCTCGAGTCACGGACGTTACGGAAACATCATCACCAAAGACGGCCTGATGCCCATCCTAAAAATGACCGACTTCTTTTCAGAATCTGCATGCCCAACTCTTAAAGAAAAACCAAAAATGTTCTTCGTACAGTGCTGTCAGAAAGGTTTAGAATCATATTTTCTTACCACATATTACCACATCTCACCATGATTTCAATAAATTGAAGTTTAACCTTGAAAAAAAATTCTTAGCCACAGACGATTTAAACGTAAAAGAAAAAATATTAGAAGCAAATCAAACGTCTGAAAACGTCGATAAGTTACGTATGATGGTGAAATCTTTTTTGAATTTGAGCGAAGCCGACATTGCGAATCCCCAACTGACCTCTAAAATAATCAGTCTCATACAAGGTAGGCCTCATAAACCCATTCATACATGTACAAACATTTCGGAATTAAAATTTTTATTTGAAAAATTCACCAAAAGATAAAAGCAGCAAAGATGTCACACAAATAATCCGTTACGAAAGTTTAATCAAGTGCGCTCTCACACCGAGTCATCCGAATTTTTTAATGTCTTACTCGTGCCTGCCAACGAAAGCATCGTACAGATCTCCAAACGTTGGAAGCATTTACTTCAAAACATTGCAAAAATGTTTGGACAAGAATGTAGACATCAATGTATGCTTGGTTAAGTTGACCAACGAAGTGAGTTCAATTGTAGAGTCTCAGAGGAAGAAAGGCAAGGATGTCTTTCAGGAACCATTTTTCGTATCAGCTGGCTTGAAAAAATCAATTTATTTTGATTAAAAAACTGTTGAAATGTTGCACGTGTGCATCTCATCTGCCGACGTCCTGTTTTTGAAATTTTGATATCGCTGTAAAGATCTGAGTTATGAAGAAATAAATAAAAACAGTTTGCAAACACACAACTTTAATTTTCATAAATTTAAAAAGTGATAGACAACAAATATTTCAGATAATATGACAATTTTAGTCTTCGGGGTCTTCAAGTTAGTTCAATTAAAATAACGCGTCACTTTGTTTTGAAATACAAAGTTTATAAAACCATCTTACGGTTTGAGAGTATTCTTTTATGTGATGGGGTGTGTGTCGTGTGTGTGTGTGGGTGAGTGGTGTGGTGGTGTGTGTATGTATTTCGTGGGTAAAACGTGTTTCTTGTGAAGACGAAAGAAAACAAACAGGAAAGACGACAGCGTAACAAATTTACACACGCACAAGCATGTCTTTGACTTTGGTATGTAATGATGTGTAATACCTTTATTTTAACAAAAATAATTCATTCATAATTCTACTAATTCATTTTTTCAATTTTAATTTCTTTTTACTATCTCAAATACGATCTTATTCAAATCCGATGTTTACCTTTTAAAACTCGCACCTTCACATTTCCTGCTAATTTGTAACTTCGGAAAAACCCAGCATCGTAAAAACTGCATCGCAAAAACCCAACTTAGCTAATGTTATTTTCTTTCTCATTATGGCAACGGTCACATCCCAGAGACAGGCGATAGACCCGTTTGATTATCACATGTATATAGGTAGTTCAGCTGATTTCATTTACGAAGCTCACGTCATTAAGAGTAAATTTTACGAATTAGGTGGTCTTTCTGTGAAATTAAAATACGAACCAGCTAGTAGCAGTTCAAGCGATACTGCAGCTACTACTTCTACTACAACTTCTATTACCACAACTTCTACTACGTCGACAATTTTATCAAATGTTCAGGATGGAATCTTAAAAAGTTTTCGCTGTCTACTGTTTGTTACTGACTCATACCTACAGGATGCATTTTACAATGAAGAAAGGTCTAGATTGCTTCAGAAGTGCAAAATGTTTACGGACAAGTCGGTCTTAGTACTTTTTATATCCGATGGTGATCTAATGAGCGATTTGGACGGCGCAGAGAAAATGTTTGAAGATTTTGAGAGTGTGGTCGTGTCGAAGAAAGACCTGACAGATGAAACTTTCTATAGCAATATCATTGATTCTCTGTTTGACGGTTGATTTTGATTTTTTGTCAATCCTTAAACGTTACTACAAGTAATTATTACCTTCTTAAATGTCGTTGATATTTGTGTGACGACAGATACCAATATAAACTTGATTCACATGTCAAAGGAGAATATGGGTCACGAAGCAGCATTTGGATATTACTATGGCTTCTTAAGATTAGTTCTACCAGGTAATTTGCACGAAAATTTCCAAAGTTACAAAACCTTTAAATCTAATTCTTATTAGAATAAATTTGATAAGAACATTCAACAATAAAAACGCCGAAAATAATTTTATTTCCGACCGACCCAAAACAGACTTAACTACAGAGTCGTTCGGCGGACACAAAGAGATGGAGGATAAGATGATTGCGAAGATGTTCATTATCGTACCTGAAGATTGCCAGTGTGGCTTGACTTTCAGCATAAAGAACAAACTGGAAACAATGAAACTGCACACGAGTACCATCGCAAACAGAGCCGGAACTGCTGAAAGAGTTTATAAAAGTTCTATACATAAGATACTCGATGAAAAGGTTAGTTTTTTCGGATTTTTTTTTCGTTTTCTTGTTTGTTTTGCTCGGTTTGAATTATTTTTAATAATGAATTCTAGGGGAATGATTATTATTTCGTTGGTGAGTTTGCAACGCCACTCATGTCCATGTATGAAACTTATTACATGGGTCTGACTGGGATGTCTCTTGATCAATTGTATCTGGAGCGAGATGCTTTTTACGTTACTTTACAATCAATTTTGAGTCACGAAACTAACGCGAAAGTTAGAGATAAGTATAAAATGCTGTTCTGGAGGAATGTTAGTTTAGGTAAATCGCGTTTCAACGTTGTTTTTTCTGAATTCAATCGTTAAAGGCGGTTTTTCATTTTAAATTTTGACATTTTTTCAACTACCAGATGGTGCGGCCGTAGAGTCGTCGATTTATAATTTGCTACTGAATGCAATTAAAGAGGAAATTTCTTTGAAAAGTAGTGTAGTTTTGTAATTTGTCTATAATTAGAAACAAATTTTGCTGCTTATCAACTTATCAATAAGCTTTTTTAAACATTTTCAAGCCAAAGAATCGATCCTCGAATCAGATGCTTCTACGAATGTTGAAGTTTTAAAGAAAAAATCGTTGAAAAAAAGCTCCGATGAACGCACAGTAAAATTGAGAATCGATAATTTATTCATCCAAGGTTAAACAAACAGTAGTTATTAACCATTACTTGAAATAATACGAATAACGCTACTGGTTTGAATACTGTTAACACATTGAAAACAATTCGGCTTTTAAACCGTCACAGGAGCTTGTAGAAGTTTGCAAAAGTATAACCTCTCGCAAAACGTCAGAGGAAAATGTGTGACTTTTATATTCAACAGTTGCTTTCAAGAAACGAGGGAAAGAGATGGATGTGACCATGACAAAAGTAACGCTTACTTCATTTTCATCACACTAATCAATGTTACATTGTCTATGTATGTTCCGTATCAGCTTATATCAGTGAAACTTTTAAAAAGTTACGCTTCGAAGTTGACATTTATGAAGATTTGACAACTTCTGAATTAGAAAATGTTCTGTTGAAGTATCAAAGAATGGACCACAGTTATTATGGTGCTTTCGTCTGTTGTATATCTAGTCACGGATTATACGGAGACATAGTAACAAAAGATGGTTTGATACCAATTTTAAAAATTACCGATTTTTTCTCAGACTCTGCCTGCCCTTCGCTTAAGAAAAAGCCGAAAATGTTCTTCATCCAATGTTGCCAAAAAGGTTGTTGAATAGGGACGGTGCTGGTTGAACGTGGCTTAGAAATAAGTTCAATTAAATGAATTATTGTTTTTCAGACCAGCCAAATTTGAAACAGCAGATGATAGATCCGTCTCGGCCGCCGGAAAACATGAATCATTTGAGTGGCCTCGTTTCATCATTCTTGAATTTGTCTGAAGTCGACAACTCCAACCCAATATTGCACTCAAAACTAGTTTGCCTTATACAAGGCCAGTGTACCTATTTTAGTTAACATTTTATTGTTGATGATTTTAAAAAAGCTAAATAAAAATGAAAATGTTGCTTAGATGAGAGAAACGAGAAAATAACTCAAATAATTCGCTACGAAAGTTTGATCAAAAGTGCGCTGACGCCAAGTCATCCTAATTTTCTGATGTCCTTTTCGTGTCTACCGTCAAAAAGTTCATACAGATCTAAAAAGAAGGGAAGCATATACTTCTTGGCACTAAAGGAATGTCTGAAAGAAAATGAAAACATCAACGAGTGTCTGATCAATGTCACTCGTAGAGTTAACTCGATCATGAAGAAGTTATCAGAGAAAACTGTAAAAAATGATCAAACAGATGAAAGGGTTGATATCAGCCAGGAACCTTTCTTCATATCTTCTGGATTAAACAAGTTGATTTACTTTGAATAAGGAGGTAAATTATTTTACAGAAGTTATTTAAACTTGTAATAACAATTAAATTTGTACAATCACAAATATCTAAGGTTTTGTGTAATTAATTGTAGATTCAACAAGCGTCTGTTGTGCAAATGTACTCCGATCCGTGATTGGATGATATAGGTACATGGATTGGATTTCTAAAACTCTTTCAATCAAGATCTTAATGTCTAATATTTTTAAAACTCTTCATAGATATTTTCACTTTAGTTTATGATTTTTGATGATACATTTTGCAGTTTTAACAAAATAAAATTGAATTGTAAGTACAAAACAAAAGTGATGTGTGTGTCATACAATGTACTTAAGAACAATACTATGGTATACCATGTATTTGTACGGGTATAGATATATGACAGGTACGGGTAACATTTAGCCAGTCAGCAGTATCTCCAATTTTTTCAGACAGGCCATTTAGTAGAGCCACAATTTCATTGAAATTAGATTCACTTTTTTCATTGCGATTAGTTCAACTTTTTAAAATAAATATAAAATCCATCTAATCATGGGTCTAATTTCTAATTTTCGCCTAACTTTGGCTATTTTTAAGCCGGATGTCGTGGCCAATCCGGTGGTTGTTCAGGTTTGTTGTTGTATTGTATTGTATTTCATTATTTTTAAAATTTTATTTTTTATAAATTTAAAAAAAACATAGTCAATAGTGAATTACAATTAGTGAATTAGTTGTTTAATTAATTAACGTAACACATTAATTAACTAATTAAAAAATTAAAATCTAAATTATTCAAAAACTTAAAATAGAGACTTTTTTAGTTTAGCTTTTAGCGGTTATCTAGTGATTAGTCTTGCCTAGCCAGATTAGCACTTTACTTTTCTTCTTATGTCATCCACTTATTAAATTAAATATTAAATTAATAACCTATTCACTTATTATCTTATTTTTTGTTAACAGTTAATCTCGAAATTTTAGTAAGATTATAAAAGTTAATATGTTAATTTAATTGCTTTAAAATACATTTGCATTTTTTAGGAAATTAAAGACATCATAGTGAAGAGAGGGTTTTTGATTGTCGCTAGTAAGTTCATCTATCCCTCCAGAGATTTAACAAGGAAATTTTATCTACTCCACAAAGGTACTAATATTATTATTATTTATTATTATTAAGCATTAATATTAGTATTGTTTATGAAGCCATTCATTTATAAATTTTCTAAATAGGAATTAATAACATCTTGTCTTTTTTTTTCTTCACGATAGATAAATTTTTCTATGCCCGACTGGTCAATTACATGTCTTGGTCAAGTGCTGCCATTTTTGGATAATAATAATAATAATAGTTTCATTTATTATAGATAAAGTATTATTAATAATAATTATAATAATTATTATTATTTTCTTTATTATAGTGGTCCAATCATGCCCTTGGTACTGTACAGAGATGATTGCATAATAAAGTGGAGAGAACTAATGGGTCCGACCAAAGTATTCAAGTACTGCCATTGTACAGTACTGTATGGTATGATGGTGTACAGTGGAGTACTACTAATGTACTATACTACTGGGTGGTGTAATTGTTAAAGGCGCCTGGCCCTGCTGCTCTGAAGTGAACCTGGTTTAAATGCAAAGAGATCCCTGTCAGTCTGTCTATATGATGAGCAGTATTCTGGCGTGTTCACACAAACACACACACATACACACACACACACACAAACAAACGGTCTATTTTTTTTGAAATTCATCACAGAACAATATATGACCAACCTGAAACAATAAGAGGCATGTATGGCCTGACAGATACTAGAAACTCGACGCATGGTTCAGGTAAATTATTGTTACAACTATCCAACAATTTACTTTAAGGTAGTAGCTAAGTGGTTAGAATACCGGGTTTAAGTGTTTCACTGAACTGGTTCGAACACATGAGGAGCCATGCTTATTATATATTCTATTTTATGATGTTTTACGTTTGTGTTGTTGATCTGAAATGATGATACCTCAATCAAATTAGTTTTACCATTCACAATGATGATTATTATAGATAACTATTTATTTTTCCAGATTCAGCAGAAACAGCCGTGGATGAGATAAAATTTTTCTTTCCGTCATTCGATCCTCATAGGTGGCTGGCCTCTGACGAGAGGTGTTCATTTGATAGTGGGGGAGTGGAATTTGATGACCATCAGTTTTGTCATCACGTCAGAAAAACTACTTGATCATTCATTCATTCGTTTGTTCGTTCGTTCATTTATTCATTCATTCGTTCATTCATCCGTTCGTTCATTTTTGTTTTTTGTTGAAACGAAGTAGTCAGTTGATTTAAGAATTGTATATATATATATATATATATATATATATATATAATATATATATATATGATTTCGTCAGATGTTTCAGAAAAAATTCTTTTTCTGTTTTAATTTTATTTCTAAACTAACCGAACATAAAAATGTCGTTGAAATATCGCCAGAAACCTAAGATAAACATCAATTTAATCTGGGTATCAATCCTTAAACAGAATATCTCTCAACACACGAACCAACTTGCTTCTGTAGCAGTAGCAACAATCTCCAGCCAATATAACACGTGGTTCCTCTTTGGAACCTTCTGACACACCCTGCGATAGAGACGTTATTAAAAAAGTAATTTAGTTTGATTTCGCATGAAACTTTTTTAAGATCAGTTTTGATTTGCAATTGCTTTTTGTACTGTATTGAGAAGCTTTATATAATACATAAAAATGATCAATGCGAAATACCTTTTTATTACGATTGCTAGTTTTCTTCCTTTTGTCAATTGCATCTTTCATTCCTTCTTTCAATCCATCCACTCTTTCGTTCTTTCCATCAACTTTCCCTTTCAATCCATCTTCACGCTCATTTCTTTCTCCAGAGGCTTTCATTGTAACTGCCATATCTAACGCTCTAGCACGGCAATATATGAGTGTGTATGTGTACATATATATACAAACATACACATACAAACATCATACGAACAAATATACATATATATATATACATACAGACAAACATACATACATACATACAAAATAAGATACAAACTTATTTTGCATCTCGGCGACCACACTCATAAGCTTAACCAGGCATCCACTTTTGAACAATATTTTACTATTATTGTTATTATTGTTGTTGTAATTATTATTATTATTCCTAATCTTCATCATGTACATTAGGACGCAGCATTGATTGCCTATTAAAAAAATTATTTTATTTTTCTTTCATAATATTATTATGATAATTATAACAATAATAATTATAGTAATAATAATTAATAATAGTAATAATAATAATTATTATTATTAACAAGTATAATAATAACAATAATTATTATTATTATTAATTTTATTCTCACGTAAAAAATAAAAACACGAGGGGTAAACCTTGGTTATCGAGATTCATGAAAGGAGGACTATACCAAGTAAACATCAAATACTCGCCATCATCATGATCATCATCATAGTTATCGCCAACATCATCATCGTCGTCGTGATCGTTATCAGCAGCGGTAGCCTCGTCGTCGTCGTCGGTTAATATTTTCATCACAGGATCGTGGTTATAATTATTGTCATTATAAATATTTTCTTTGTTGGTTTTTGACGGATTTGATTGGCCATTATTATTATTATTATTATTATTATTATTATTATTATTATTATTATCAACATCGTCATCGTCGTTAAGATTGTTTTGCTGTCTGTACTGCCGTATGATGCTGTTCAGGGTCTCATCCATTCTAATCCCCAACATCATCGTCAGTCTATCCACTATTACTTGTTCCTGGCAACAAGTCTGTTTATTATTATTATTATTGTTGTTGTTGTTTTTGTTGTTGTTGTTATTGTTCTGGTGGATTGTACGAAAAAGTTTCGTTGGAATGAGACTCGCTCTATGGATGTCCTGTCGAAGTTTTGAATTCATCTACATTATCGTCTACGTCATGATAATAGTAATAATAATAATAACAATAATGATGATGACGATGATGATAATAATAGTAGCAATAATAATCATCATCGTCGTCTTCATCGTTATCATCATCAGTGATGACTGATGATGACAACACCACCATCGTCGTCGTCGTCATTATCTTCGCCATTATCACCATCAGCAGCACAATCGAAATCATCATCAAAATCATCATATCATCTTTATCTTATCCTCATCACCATCGTCGTCATTACCTGATAAACGCTTGATTGACTGACGAGAAATTGATTGAGTGATAAGAGCTTACTCATCCAGACGTCGCTAAACACCATGCTACCGATCGGTAGTTTCGTTGGTTTCCAGGCAATCGCAGCTGCTGTTGTTGTTGCTGCTACTGTTGCTGCTGCAGCTGCTGTTGATGACGTCATTGTTGACGTTTTTGATGTCATCATTGTCGTTGCGGTTTTTAGTATGGCTGGCTGTTTACATATTGATTCCCTGTCTTCGAATGTGAAGTAATTTGTGACTGTTTTGTTTTCTTGAATATTTGTCCTGTTGTTGTTATTATTATTATTACTGTTGTTGTTGTAATTTTTGTTGTTTTTATTATTATTATTGTTGTTGTTGTCGTCGAAGTTTTTGACGGGGTTATTGGATGACGTCACGTTGATGAGATGTCTGCTGTTGAAGAGATGCATCAGCGTTGAGTGGTATTCTGTACGTTTGTAAGTGTGTTTGTGTATGTGTGTGTGTGTTTGTATTTTTTTTTCTGTGTGTGTGTGTGTGCGTGTGTGTGTACAATGACTACATAATCGTCGTCATCATCATCATCATCACCACTATCATCATCATCATCAGCGCAGCAGCAGCAGCAACAACAACATCATCACCATCATCAAAATCACCAAAAATATTTTTCCATGTAAGCATGGATTGATGTCGGCGAAGTTGCCGTTTGAATTGCGTCACAATAGCAGCAGTACTAGAATCGTTGTTGTTGTTGTCGTTGTTGTTGTTGTCGTTGTTGTTGTTGTTGTTGTCGTTGTTGTTGTTGTTGCTGCTGTCATTGACGATGACGTCATCGTCTTCCATTTTGTTGTTGTCGTCGTTGATGTTTTCAATAATGCCTCCTACGATATCCATGGCCACAAAACACGGCAAGGTTGAGGAACTCGTTGTTTCAGTTAAGGTTTCCGTGTAATGAGGCTCCTCACCGAGCATGGCTTTGTTGGCCCGGTGGTGTTTGTAGTTGTATAGCAGGAGGGCTTTTAAGCATTTGAGGCGAGCTTTGTTGTACATATTTGCGTCTGCGTTGTTGTTGTTGTTGGTGTTGTAGTTGTTGTAGTTGTTGGTGTAGTTGTTGTAGTTGTTGGTGGTGTTGTTGTTGTTATTGTTGTTGTTGTTTTTGTTGTTGTTGTTAGTCTGTTCGTCAGAGACAATGACATTATCCATGCCGTAGTTGTCGCTGTCACTATTCGTGACGTCATCGGCTTTAGTTTTTACTTCGGTGGTTTTATTGAAAGGGGCTTTGAAGTTTTTTTCGCTATTTTTGGATCCCTAAAAATTATCATCATCACCATCGTCGTCATCATCATCGTCGTCGTCGTTATCACCATCATCATCGTCATCATCTTCATCATCGTCTTCACTATCATCATCTTCATCATCATCGTCATCATCATCATCATCGTCATCATCTTCATCATAGTCATCATAGTCATCATCGTCGTCGTCGTCATCATCGTCATCATCAATACTAACCACGTGATAGTCGGCACAAACATGTGATGCGCCAAACATAATGAAAGCTAATTCACTGAAGATCCTCATAGTAAATCTGTTTCAGTAGTAGCAGTAGTAGTAGCAGCAGTAGCAGCAGCAGTAGTAGTAGTAGTAGTAGCAGTAATAGTAGTGGTAGTGGTAGTAGTAGTAGTAGTAGAAGCAGTAGTGGTAGTAGTAATAGTAGTGGTAGTGGTAGTAGTAGTAGTAGTAGTAGTAGTAGTAGTAGTAGTAGTAGTAGTAGTAGTAGTAGTAGAAGCAGTAGTGGTAGTAGCAGTAGAACTAGTAGTAGTAGTAGTAGTAGTAGTAGTAGTGGTGGTGGTGGTAGTAGTAGTAGTAGCTAGATGATAATAAATAACACCAACAACGACAACATGACATACAACATCAACAACAACAAAC